CCCTGCCAATTCTTTGGGTCCTCGGCCAGGGTTGGGTCCCACCCAGACCACTGTCCACTGTTGACCGTGGGCTACTGATGCAACCTCTCTGGTATCTAAGGCTGTAAAACTGGCATAATAGCTGGGCTGAGGTGCTCTGCAGACAGGCTCTCAGTTCCATCCCTGGTGCCCCAATCACTGAATTGGGGGGATCTGGGGGGTGTTATTAGATCCCCTACATTGCAGGACCTGAGTAGCACCACTTCCTCTGACCTCACACGGAATTGTCCAGCCAGTTGGCTGAGAATCACTGCGAGGGACCCACAGGCTCTGGGAGCACCCCAACCCCCAGGAAAGAAATAGCTCTTTGGGGGCTGGAGTGATAGCACAGCACGGTCGACCCGGGTCCAATTCCCAGCATCCCTGAGCGCCGACCGTCAGGAGTAACTCCTGTGCGTTGCCGGTGTGACCCAAAAAGAAAAAAAAAAAACAGCTCTTTGTCCCCCAACACCATCTCGTGGCAGAGTGGAAGCGGGTACCCTGGTCCTGAGCAGCAGGACAACAGGGAATAAGAAACCAACCAGCAGGGATAAAAGCCCCCCAGCCCCTTGCACAGAGTGGAGCAAAACAGACGTAAATGGAGCACAGCACATGGATTGGGGGAAACTGGAAGTGCGTGCTTGCGTTCCTGGGGGAGGTCTGGGTGTGGCTATCATTAAGGCTCTTTTATAGGCGAAGGGAGAAGGGCAGGGCCCAGGGCTCCCCAGACCCCAGCTGCCCTGTTGTGGGTGGGAGCTTGTCAGGGCTTGGCTGCGGCTCACCCTCATTTTCTTCCCTAGGGGAAGGCACGGGTGGTCCTTGGCATTAGCACTGGCCATCGCTGATTACAGCACCAAGGCTGGCGTCCTGGGCGCCATTGGCGTCTATATTTTGCAGGAAAATCCAGGCCTTCCAGTCCATGTCAAGCCGGGCGTTCATGTCCTTGTGTTCCCCGGTGCGTGCCCACTCCAGAGCTCTGGGTCTGGTCTGCGCTTCCTGCAGCCCTCACTCGGGAGGGGGCTGGCACTCCTCGGGGAACCATCCTGAAGCTGCTGCCCCTGCACAACTAGCTACCTGGCTCTGCTCCATCTCCCAAAGCACCTGGGCCCTGCTCACTGCCTCTGGGTGCCAGTCCAGTGAGCAATCGAGTCACCAAGCAAGCTTGAGGATTGAGAAGCGCCACAACCAGTGTCCTATCATCACTCCCGCATGAGCGCAGCCAGCCTCCCTTGGTTTGGGACAGGTGACGCCCCCCAACATGCACCTACACATCCCCTTCTGATCCCCAGGGTATATGTGGACAGGCCCTGGCTCTGACTCTCGGGGATCAGTTTCAGGTTGAGTCCCAGCCCCCAGATGCCCACCAGGCTGGGGAGCCCAGGGAGCAGCAGAGGCAGGGGCGGGGCGACTCAGTTTCCCCAGAAACACAGGCTTCCCGGGCGCCTACAGCTCGCGGCACCCAAGCTGGTGCCTGAACCCTGTGTCCTGGTGTGGTCTCTGCCGTCTCTTTCCCAGGACGTATCCATTTGGTTCTAGTCGCTCTGGCGCTGTGAGAGCAGTGTGCGCATGCGCGCTCGCACACACACGTGCACTCGCGCCTGGGTCTGCTGGGGTCTCATGGCGACAGGGGGCTGGGCACACGTGCAAGGCAGTGCCCTCTGCCGAGCCTCAGAGCTGTGGAGGACACTGATATGTTTGTTTGTTTTGCTTTTTGGGTCACACCCAGCTCTGCACTCAGGAATCAATCACTCCTGGCAGTGCTCAGAGACCATATGGAATGCTGGGAATCGAACCTGGTTCGGCCACGTGCAAGGCAAACGCCCTACCTACTGTGCTATTGCTCCCGCCCCAGGACACTGATATTTGTTTGGTTGGGTTTTTTTTTGGGGGGTGCACAGGTTGCACATACCTTGTGGGGCACACGGCTTATTCCTGGCTCTGTTCTTAGGGAATCATTTTAGGTGAGGCTTAGGGAACCCTGTGGGATTCCAGGTATTGAATCTGGGCACCTCACCTGCTGAATGCCCCAAGGCGCTTTCTCTGGGCTCCGGGGCCCACCCTAAACTCGCTTCTGGTCAGCAAACTCTGCCCAGAGAAGGGCCTGTGGGGCCAGAGGAGCAGACAGGGCGCTTCCCTTCCACATCGCTGACGAGGGTCTGATCCCCACATCCTATCCTCGGCGTTCCGAGGCTGTCAGGAGTCAGTCCAGAGCATCTCCAGGTGTGGCCCCACAACAAAACAAACGAAAAACACCGAAAAGACAGAGAGGGGATATTTGGTGTTTTGTTTTTATTATTTCATTTCCATTTAAAAAAATCTATTTAAATATTTTGTTTTGGGGTCACACCTAGTGGTGTTCAGGGGCTCAAACGCGGGGTCCTCCCCTGCTATGATGATGCCTCCTGGAGATGGAGCCAGAACACTTGTGTGTGTGCTTATGTGCTTATGTGCTTATGTGTGTGCGTGTGTGTGTGTGTGTGTGTGTGTGTGTGTTTCTCTCAAAGGCAGTGCTAGGGATCAAACTGGACCCGGGGAGCAGGCAGGAAACAGGCGAAGGAGCTAGGAGAAGGGAATACTGACAGGAAGGGTGTTTGGAGGGCACAGAGACGCCAGGTCTTGGGGGGCGGGATTGGCAGGGAGTGGGCGTGGCCTGGCTTGTGGTGCTCGGGCGCCCTCTGGTCGCGTTCCGGGGAACAGTTTGGGGGAGAGGCTGAGGCTGAGATGAGCCAGGAACCCCATCTGTGGATACCCGGGAAGATGAAACGGAGGCTGAGGGGCCGGAGCGTTCTTTCAGGGGGCGGACAGGGCACTTACCTGCACATGGCCTACCTGGACTCGACCCTGGCACCACATATGGTCTCCCGAGTCCCGCCAGGAGTGATCCCTGAGCAGAGAGCGAAGTGTCAACACCCCCCCACACACACACCCCGTCATGAACTATTTGTCAATTACAGACATCCCGAATTTACGAATAAATAATTTAGGGTATATCTCCAAAGAAAATATTCTCTCACAAGGCTTGGGAGTTAAAAGCATCGCTCGTGTGTGTCCAACTCCCCACGAGGGACCACCGAGCACAGAACCAGGAGCTGCCCCTGAGCACCGCTGGGGGTCGCATAAAGAAAATTTTCTAATTCAATCATAGTTTAATGGTCCCACTCAGGAACTTTATCCACTCAGCATTTACACATTTTGCACGCGGCTAGGCGGATTCGATCTGTGGCACCAGAGGGTTCCCGAATCACCCCAAACCACACCTCTTTGAGGAGCCAATGATTTCTGGGCGGCTGCAAATTTCCTTCCCTCACGGTTCCTTCTGCGTATAGTAGTCACCCAGCAGCTTCTCAGGCCTGCATTTGAGCTAAAAAACTGGAGGGGGGAGGGCATTGCCTGATGATCTTCTTGTGACCTTGGGCAATACCCCCCTCTCCGGACACCTCCTCATGAATCACGTGCTGGGTTCTGGCTCAGGTCTCGGCTGTCCACCCCCCAACCCGTCAACCTGCAGTCTCTAGGGGACAGTTCAGAGGCCAGACACAAGCCGAGCGACGCGCACATTCCCGCAGAGTGCATTGGCCCAGCCGGCAGAGGTTAGCTGAACCAATAGAGGGGGACAATGGCTGTGCCCGTTGCCACAGCAACCGGGACGCCCGCCAGCTGGGTGGTGCCAGCCAGGCAGCTCTCAGCCACTAGTATCCGGCCCGCTGTCCCATTTCACTTCGTCCCTCTGCGGGGACGCCACTGTCAGGGCAAGGAGACACCACAGCTCAGCCTGGAGTGCCGTGTGTGGAGAGGGGGAGGCTGCACAGATCCGTTTCCTCCGTGAGGCAGCTCGGAGGGCGGCACCCCCGGCCTACCGGAACTACAACTCCCAGCATGCAAAGCGAGCTCCAAGCTCCGCCCCACGCGTCCGCGCCGGTGCCCAATAGGTCCCGAGCCTGGAAATGTCTCACCGGCCCTGGGAACCGAGCGCGCCTGGTTCCTTCGCGTCTCTGCTTCTCCCGGACCTGCTCCGGTTCGAAAATCTCCCAATGCAAGGACACACCTGGAGATGGTGAGGCTGTGGTGGCTCCTTTCCGCCTCTCATGAGCTGAGACCCGGGGGCCGGGGGGGAGGTAGTAGGAGGGACAGTCAGATGGACGGAACGGACCCAGCTCCGCGACGACGGAGGGTGTGTCGCACAATAGTTGCTGAGAACGTTCTCTGTGCTGGCCGGCGAGCCGGCCGGGTCTCCCACCCCTGCTACCCCTTCGCACTGCCCTGGCCGCCCCCGATCGTGCGGTCTCCGGCACCAAATGTATCCAACTTACTGTTTGTGGAGTCTGGGCCGAGCCTGGCATGGGACGGGAACACATTAACCAGCAGACGTGAGGGTGTGTGTGAATGAATGAATGAATGAATGAATGCACACTCTTGTGCCTTAGTGCATTGTACACCCCGTTAAGGAAGTGGGATGCTGGAGGCGGGGGTGCTGGAGTGACCCTCTGTATTCACCGTGTAGATCCAGCTTCCAGCCTTCCCCGCCCGCCAGAAATGAATGAACTTTTGCTTATTTGCATTTTGGGTCGCGAGCTCTCCTGGCGGAGCTGGGGAGACCCTATGGGGATCAAACCCAGGTCCGGTGCGTGCAAGGCAAACGCCTTTCCCGCGGTGCCATCTCTCTAGCCCCTGAAAGCACCTTTTATCGAGGGACAGATTGTGGGGCAGGCGTGGATTCGCCAGAAAGTCCCCTTTTTCAGGCGTTAGGACTTTGCATCGTATTTCCTCTCCACGAAACTCAGCCTCGGTCACTTGACTCTCCCTCCCACGCCCCTGCGTGTCCCAGAAGGACACCCGGCCCACAGCACGAGGACCCAGGGTCGCCGCCTCCCGGCGGCCACGCGCCTCCTTCCTCGCCAGCGAGGGGCCTGGGCTCCCCCCGTGCCTCCGCGATGGTTCAGCCCGCTCGGCCCAGGCGGGGCGGGAAGGCCCACCGCGCCCGGGCGCGGGGGGCGGGGTGCGGGACGCCGGACGAGGCGGAGGGATCCCTTTGGAATGTGGTCGTGAGTCCCGGCGCCGATTGGTCGCGGGCTCCGGGAGCACGTCCCTGATTGGCGGGGCGTGGGCACGGACCCCGCCCTCCGGCCGCCGCTGCTGGAGAGGCCCGGGGCCGAGTTTGCCGAGGGCCGAGCGCGGCGCGGGCGCGGCAGCGGCGCAGGTGAGTTTCTCCCGCGACCCGGGCGCAGCGGCTCGTGGCTGCGGGGGGACCCCCATCGCGCACTCCCGGGGGCTCCGGAGCCTCGGGGATCCGGCTGGGCCTGCGGGGTGGGGCCGGGGATGTCCCAGGCCTCCTCCCAGTGGGCCGCCTCCCTTCCCACGGGTGGGGGGCGCGGGGACAGCGCCTCCCGCCGTCGGGGTGCGGGCAGCGCTCGTTCTGCTGGCCCCCACACCCCTCTGGACAGTCCCTATCCAGTTTGATCCCGGCACCGGGTCAGTATTACTGAGTCCTTCCTGGGCACCTCCCTGGAGCTGGCCGTGTCCCATCCTCCAGGGGCTCGAGGTGGACGCTGGGGGGTGGGCGGGCGGAGGGGCCTGGCGGGGGGAGGTCCCGAGAGTAAGAATGAAACGGATCGATCTATCGAATGCTTCCGTGGCCGGGGCATACCATGTGTATCACGGAGGCCAGACACCTCCTAGAAGGTGTTATGACTTGTTTTAGACCCAGAGAGGTGGAATGCTTGTCCACGGTCACACAGCCTCCAAGTGGCAGATGTAGGAACGGGCGGGACCCGCACCTCCGCGCCCAGGCATGTGGAGTCTAGGTTCCTGGACTAGACCCTCTGGGGGCTCCTCTTACCCTGGAATTGGGGGCGTTGTTGACCAGCTTTTGGACAGACTGGGGTCTGAGAGGGTTCTCCCGCCCAGATTCCCCCCACTTTTCATCTTATCTGAGCAGCACCTGCTGGTCTTGGCTTCTGCTGTCCACCAGCAGCCCCCCAGGATTATCCCAGGAAGCTGCCTCCCATGGCCTTGCTCCCTAGAAGGTGAGGGAGGTTACACCCCTTCCTGGAGGTGAGGAACAAGCTGGCCAGTGGGGTGCTGAGCCTTGGGCCCCTGGGAGTAGGCGGTGCTCCCCGGAAGCCAGGAGCCGGTTTTTCAAGACTGAATCAGCTGCCTCCCGCCCGCCAGCCCAGCCAGGCAGCTGGGAAGGGAAGCCTGGGCGTGGTGTGCTCCCCCCGCAGCCGCAGAGCACCCAGGAACCCCCTCTCCACTTCCTGCTTGTCCTCGCACTGCCATTCTCCTTGGCTGTGGGGTCGCTAAGTTTCCGTTGCTTCTCTGGGCAGAAAGGGATGCTGGGGGGGCACCCAGGCGGAAGTGTCTTCTCTTCCGCCGTCCCTGCAAGTTTGGGGGGACAGTGAGCCACGCCAGGCATGTTCTGTGGATTCGGCCGCACTCTCTGCACGTTGCCTGGGCTCCTGCCTAGCAGTCCCGCTCTCGGGGAGCTGCCTTATACTAGCGGATCCATGGGCAAGGGGCACTATGAGGAGAGTGACTGTGACAGGAGCGTGGGCCCCGGTCCACAGTCACAGGGGTCAGGCAGTGGCCATGCTTGGCTGTGGGGGTCCCACTGGGCACTGTAGGCTTACCTCAGCTGGGAAATAATTGTGAGATTCAAGGCAGCAGAGTGACTGCTATGGTTTACATTTGAAAATAGAGACATGGGTTTAAATGGCAGCCTAAGGCTGTGAGACAAGAGTTCTACCAGGGCGACATGTAATTACCTTCCTGGGTCTGAGCCGGCTGGACCACTGGGGGCGGTTCCAGCAGGCTGGGGCAAGCCGGGAGGCTGCCTGGGGGAGGTGACCTGGCATAGGCCTGAGAGGACTATGGTGTTCCTGGGCAGGATGAGGGGGGAGGAAGGGGTCGGTAATAATGACGACAATAATAATAACCGCTTCCTTGAACTCACTGCCAGGCGGGTTCCATGCCTGGCCTCTTTGGATTTCTGCAAACACCTTGCTATCCAGGCATTCTGCCCGTTTTTTAGATGAGGAAACTGAGGCCGCGTCCAGTGAAGTGACTTGCCCACAGCCACGCAGCTGGTAAGTGGCAGAGATGGGCTTTTAACTTACTTACGAGCACCTGCATCTTCAGTGGGGAGGGCCTGGTCCTTCAGCAGGTGCGGGTGACAGGCAGTGGGTGGGGGGTGGCCTGCGTGACCGGGATGCATGTATGGGTTCCTGGGAAGGGTGATGGCAAATGCGGTAACTGTTCTAGTTCTCTGTCAGCATGAAAGTGCTCAGAGGGGCTGGAGCCGTGGCACAACGGGTAGGGCGTTTGCCTTGCACGTGGCCGACTGGGTTCGATTCCCAGCATCCCATGTGGTTCCCCGAGTACTGCCAGGAGTGATTCCTGAGTGCACAGCCAGGAGTAGCCCTAAGCATCACTGAGTGTGACACCCCCCCCAAAAAAAAAAAAGGTGCTCAAAGAGGTGGGGCTGGAGGTTAGCACAGCGGGTAGGGTGTTTGCCTTGCATGCGGCCGAACTGCGTTCAGTTCCCAGCATCCCATATGGTCCCCTGAGCACCGCCAGGAGTGATTCCTGAGTGCAGAGCCAGGAGTGACCCCTGTGCATTGCCAGGTGTGACCCAAAAAGAAAAAAAAAAATGAATGCGCTCAGAGAAGTTAAAACACTTTCCCCGGGTCACACAGCCATTAAGGCAAAGCCAACTTCCCACTGCGCCAGGCACTCTAAGGGTGGCATCCCTCAAATGATGAGGTTCCATTCTAGCGGTGGAGAGAAAAGGCAATTCTGCTGACTTTGATCCCATGGATTACCTTCAGGCTTTCATGATAAGTTAGTTTCCTTGAAAAATTGCAATTTCTGGGGTCCGAGACATAGTCCCATGGCCAGGGCACTTGCCTTGCACGCGGCCAATCCAGGTTCTATCCCTGTGATCCCATAGGGTCCTCCAAGCCCACCAGGGGTGATCCCTGAGTGCAGAACCAGAAATCAGCCCTGAACACCACCGGGTGGGACTCTACTCCCCCAAAAAAACCCAGTTTCTTGGGACCAGAGTGATAGTACAGCAGCAGGGGCACTTGCTTTGCACTGATCCTTTTCACTGGTGCTGAGTCACACCCCGGGCCTCCTGCATGCCCCACATGTGCTCTAGCGAGGGGAAGGGGGAGGATAGTGCGCCTTACTTTGAGCAGGTAGGAAGCTGGGTGGGCTCGGGCAGTGGACAGGTGTGACCTGGCTTCTGTTTTACAGGATCACTCTGGCTGTGGGGCCAGGGCTGAGGTGGGGAGAGGAGGCGGCCACTGCTGGTCGGGGTGAGTGGGACAGGGGGCCTAGCCCTGGGGATGGACGGAGAGAGGTCAGGGGGAGCATCCCAGGGCATGTTCACACACCTTGCACCAAATGGTCCCTTAAGCTCTGCCCAGAGCAACACCAAGTGCCACTAGGTGTGACCCCATACTGGAACCAAGAGGAAGATGCCATTTTGCAGAGCTGAAGCCTAGTCCAGGGCTCAAGGACCACATAGGAGTCCCAGAGACCCCCCAGGAGGGAACCCTGGGCGTGACCCCCTCAAATCAAAAGCAGTCAAATGATGGGGCTGGAGCCATAGTACTGAGGGGAGGGCACTTGCCTTGCACTGACTGACCTGGGTTCGATCCCCGGCATCATCCCATGGGGCCCCCTGAGCACCTCCAGGAGTGATCCCCCTGGGTACAGTGTCAGGGATAAGCCCTGAGCATCACTGGGTGGGACACCAAAACCAACAAGCAAAACAAAAAGGTAGTTAAATGTAGACCCGTCCTGCTGGGCACCGGGAAAGCGGCCGCAGCTCCCATTTCCCGTCTCAGGTGCTCCCTCATCTGTGCCCTGAGGAGCGGGGCTGCCCCGACTTGGGGCCGGGCGCATCTTTTTGTTTGATTTCGAGGTGCCAGGCTGAGAGCCCAGGCCTCACACGGGTCTCCAGCATCTTGGCTCTGCACCGCTGAGGCACTATGTCCGTGCAGGGCCCTCCCTGTCTCCTGCTGGTGCGTACCCCGCCATCCCCCGTCCCTCCCCAGAGCTCCGGCCTTTTCGAGTTGGGCAGAGCGGCTGGCATGGGTGGCGAGCGGGTCGCAAGTGCCTGCTCCCTTCAGGCCTCTGCCCATTTGACTTTTTTTATTTGGTTTTCGAGTCATGCCTGTTAGTGTTGAGGGTTCACTCCTGACTCTGCACTCAGAAAAGAGTCCTGCTGGGCTTGGGGCCCCCTCTGTGGTGGCGTGGACAGAGCCCAGGCCGCCTCATCTCTGAGTCTTCCTTAGATGGGTTCTGTTTGGCCTTTTGGGTCTCCTGGGTGCTCAGGGTCCATGTGGCGTGATAGGATGGAACCCAGCTCAGCGGGTGCAAGGCAAGCGGTTCCCCACGGTGCTGCGCTGCCAGCAATGATCACACTCTGGGGGGGGGGAGGCTGTCCCGTCCAGGACCTGGTCTCAGGCTTCACTGGCCTTGTCACCGCTGTTGCTTCTCATTCCAGTGACTGTCGGGTAAAGTCCTTGAATGCTGTAGGTGTGCTGGGGCCATGCCGACAGGCCTGTGGCTTTTGCCCCTGTGCTGTGCTGGAGCAGTTGGTGTCTGTCTGGAGCGGCCACCGCAAGGAATCCCACTTGGTGGCGCCGGATGTTTACGTGGCTGTTACTGGCCATGCTGTGGACATCGTGTGCCACAGGGGTCTGAGCAGGGCAGGGTCGTGCCCTGTGTTTGTGGAACTTGTACCCCGCAACTTGAAGCACGTCCCTGGTCCTGAGTGAGCCCGGCTGCATTGGGGGCCTTCACTGAGGTTTGCTTGAGGACCTCTGCCTCTGCACTCCGGAGTCACTGCCTCTGGGTTTCTTTTCCTGTACCATCCTGGCTTGCGTGGGGATGTATGTGGGTAATGCTGATCTCCTAAAAATATGTTTGCGGGGCCAGAGAGATGGTACAGCAGGGAGGGCGTTGCCTTTCACGTGGCCGGCCTAGGTTTGATCCTCGGTATCCCATCTCGGAGCGGAGCCAGGAGTAACCCTTGAGCACTGCCAAAAACAATAAAAATGTGTTGTGGAGAGTTTCTCCGGCTCCCGCGCTCTGTGGAAGCCTTGGGGAAGGATGGGTGTTAGTTCTCCTGAGCCCTGGCCGAAATCCTCCCATGCCTTTATTCTCACCGACACTTGGTCACTGCTTGGATTCTGGTCTTCTGTGTCGTGCTGCCGCTTCGGAGTGAGCCTGAGCGATGGTTTCTCCGGCTCTTCGCCTCGGAGCTTCCTAGTGCTGGCGCAGCCGCTAGCCAGCCTTTGTGTGTGCACTGTCGTGGCCTCACCTCCCTCACGGCTGCTTTTCTCTTCTCTTTATTTTCTTAGCCTAGCAAAGGGCTTTTCAATCTTGTTTCTCCTTTCAAAGAACCAGCCCTAGTAAATGAAGGCTTGGGCTGAGAAGTCATTGGTCACTTCCTCCCTAGGCTCAGGAGCCTGAACTCGCCTGGGCCTGCGAGGTCAGCCAGTCACTCGGCAGCTGCCCGGGTGCTTTGAAGGGCCCCGGAGCTCTTGAACAAAGCCCTGATGTATTACACAGTAGAAAACCAGGATTAACCCTGTAGTCTCCCACCCTGCCCACTGACAGGAAGCAGCCACGTCCCACGGTCCCCACATGGGAGCGGAGGGCGTCTGCCCTGCAGGCGGCTGACCTGCCTTGTCCCTCGCTCCCGATACTGTCCCCCACGCCCAACCAGGAGTGACCCTGGAAACAGATCCAGGAGTAAGCCCCGAGCTCTGCTAGGTACGGCCCCAAAGATGGGCATCACATTCGTGGCGCGAATAGGGGTCCCACGAGGCTTTGGTCGCTCGTGTTCCTTGTGCCTGAGTGCCCTGACCCGGCCCGGAACCAGCGGGAGGGTGCTGCCTTGGGAAGGGGCGCCCGCGGCCCTGAGCCCGCCTTCGTGCCCGCAGATCTCCCGGTTGCAGCCCCACCGCTCTCCGCTCATGCCGCTGGGTCTGGGGCGGCGGAAAAAGGCGCCGCCTCTGGTGGAGAATGAAGAGGCCGAGCCGGGCCGTGGTGGGCTGGGCGTGGGGGAGCCGGGGCCCCTGGGCGGGGGCGGGGCTGGCGGACCCCATATGGGCCTGCCGCCCCCGCCCCCGGCCCTGCGGCCCCGCCTCGTCTTCCACACCCAGCTGGCCCACGGCAGCCCTACCGGCCGCATCGAGGGCTTCACCAACGTCAAGGAGCTGTACGGCAAGATCGCCGAGGCCTTCCGGCTGCCGCCTGCCGAGGTACTGGGGGAGCTGGGCGCGGACCCCCGGGAGGGTGCGAAGCCCATAGTCAGCGGGGGCTCTGCACAGCACGCGCCGGTCTGAGCTGCGCCCGAGTTCCCAGCAGGCTTTGCGAGCTCACTCCCTGGTGGGTAGGGTCTTCGTGGACCCCTGCCCGGGTGCATCGTGGGGACAGTGGACAGCGAGGGGTGGGCTGGCGAGTTCTTGGGCTGCTGCGCAGCAGTGGGTTGTGGGAACCGGCGCTGGGTGTGATTTCCCGTCAGAGCCTCCTCTCGCCGCCTCCCATGGGCGCAGGGTGTGGCACTCGGGCCCTGGGGCTTCCGCACACGTCCTGCGCCCCGTAGGTTGTCGGGCCGGAGGTCAGGGGCGATATTCCTATTTACCGGATGCGTGTGGGGGGTTAGCCTGACACTAGGGAGCGGCGTGGGGCTGCGCTGATGGGGGCCCGGCCCTCTCGCCCCTGTCGTCCGGAGGGCTGTAGTGCTCCCCCGGAGGAGACCCCCAGGCCTTGCCCGTCTCCTAGCGGGCGGGCGCCCGCGTGCAGTGCTGAGCGTCTGGCTGCCCCGCAGGTGATGTTCTGTACCCTCAACACCCACAAAGTGGACATGGACAAGCTGTTGGGGGGCCAGATCGGCCTGGAGGACTTCATCTTCGCCCACGTGAAGGGGCAGCGGAAGGAGGTGGAGGTGTTCAAGTCGGAGGACGCGCTGGGGCTCACCATTACCGACAACGGGGCCGGCTATGCCTTCATCAAGGTGCCTGGGGGCCAAGGGGCCCCCCGAGGTCCGGGGGCGGGGGAGCCGCTGCCTGACGGCGCCCTCCCCTCCCGCAGCGCATCAAGGAGGGCAGCGTGATCGACCACGTCCAGCTCGTCAGCGTGGGCGACATGATCGAGTCCATCAACGGACAGAGCCTGCTGGGCTGCCGCCACTACGAGGTGGCCCGGCTGCTGAAGGAGCTGCCCCGGGGCCGCACCTTCACACTGAAGCTTACGGAGCCCCGTAAAGCCTTTGGTGAGGGGCTGCCACCCCGACCCGATCCCGAGCTCCCCCACGCCATCCTCCTGCTCCCGGGCCCTGGATGCAGGGTCAGGAGCCACCAGCAGGTGGCGCCCGAGCTCAGCCGGTCACAGGGGGGTGAGGGGTGCTCAGCTAAGCCCTGCCCAGGGGAAGGGGTGCTGGCTCGGGCCCAGCCTATGCGGGTGGAGGGTGGGATCAAGGAGGAAGTTGCCCCCCCCACCCGTCTTCCCAGAGCCATTAGCCCAGCCAAGCGCCCCTTACCCTGGCCAGCCCCCAGCCGGGAAAGCCAGGCTTGGCTGCCCTGTGTCTGCACCCCCACATCAATGTCTGGCCTCACTGACTCTCAGGAATGGGGTAGGGGTGGGGTCCTTCGGAGCACTTCCCCAGGCTGCTGGGCAGCTGGAGACCCAGGCCGCCCCCTTCCTGTCCCCAGCCCCTGCCTGTCCTGGGGGGAGGTGGGATAGTCCAGGCTGGCCAGGAGTCACCAGAACTGGGCTCCCTGCCCCTCACCCCTGCATTCATGCATCCCCACCCCCTTGCAGACATGATTGGGGTGCGCTCAGCAGGTGGCCGCCCGGGCGCAGGCCCTCAGCTGGGCACTGGCCGAGGAACCCTGCGTCTCCGATCCCGAGGGCCGGCCACCGTCGAGGACCTGGTGAGTGGACACAGGGCCACAGCTCCCCTTCCGGCAGACCCTTGGTCAGGCTGCCCCTACCCCACACTGTCCCGGGGGGAGGAGTGACACTCAGGGTGGGCCCCGGGCTTTGCTCTCCTGCCCTGAACGCCAGCCTTGCTTGCCCTCAGCCCTCGGCCTTTGAGGAGAAGGCGGTGGAGAAGGTTGACGACCTCCTGGAGAACTACATGGGCATCAGGGACACAGAGCTGGGTGAGCTGGCGCCCGGGCGCCCCGGGTGGGGGTGGAGGGCTGGGCCCTGGGCCCTCGCCGTGGGACTGGACCTTTCTGCTGCCTCCTCCCCCCCACAGCGGCCACCATGGTGGAGCTGGGGAAGGACAAGAGGAACCCAGATGAGCTGGCCGAGGCCCTGGACGAGCGGCTGGGTGACTTCGCCTTCCCCGATGAGTTCGTCTTCGACGTCTGGGGCGCCATTGGGGACGCCAAGGTCGGCCGCTACTAGGCCTCCCATTGGACCTCGAGGCGACCTCGGCCTGGGCGCAGCCTGGGGGGACCCGCACCCCAGCACCCAGCCAGCTGCCCAAGTTCGAGGCAGGTGGGGCTGACGCGGGGCCTCCTGTCTCCAATCGGTACCACCTCCCCTTCTCCCCGATTCCTAGCCCGCCTGGGTGACCCCGCTCCCCACCTACCTCAGCCAGGTCAGGCGCCCAGGGGAGGGGCCAGGCAGATGGAACAGCCCCCCACTTCTCTTATTTGCGCCCCCCACCCCTGGCCTCAGGCTGTTTGTGGCGGGGTACGGCCGCCATCCATTCCCGACCCAGAGACTGGAGGGGCGCGCCCCTACCTGCAATAATACCCACTCTCCCCGGCCCTGTCGGGGCGCCCCTCTCAGGAGGCTCTGCCCTCCACCAAGGAACCCCAAGTCTGCTGTGAACCCCACAGCCCCAGGGCCAGGCCCACCGAGCAGGGCGGGGCTGGGGGCAGCTCTGGACTTTTGTACCTGAAGTTGCCACTTTCTGGAACATAAAAGACTGTTGCTCTGCTCCAGGATGTGTGGGCCTCGTGGGGGGGAGGGGGGGCAGGCCGCCGGGGCTGGGAAAGAATGCAGCAGCTGAAATCTATCCCTGGCTCCAAATTGAATTAGGAGCCGCCCGCCCGCCCCTTCCCACCCGTTCTGCTCTGCGCGCCTGGCAGCAGGCCACTGCTTCCGGCAAAGCGCAGTTGTCCGCCCCCAAGGCTTCCCAGTCGGGGGCTTCCGGCCGAGGGCTTCGAACAGGTAGGGGTTGTCCCACGGGCGGGTGGGCAGCACCCCCAGGCCCGGGCAGTCGCACCCCCAGGCTTAGCCAGCCTGGCTGGGGTCAGCCAGTGAATGGTGCTGGGCTTGTTTTGACAGGTCACTTTATCCGGGGATTGAGGGGATCAGAGAAGGGGGAACCGGCCAGAGGTCCCCGCAGGAACGCTTGGGGGTGAGCCGGTTGGCTGCAGGGAAGCCAGCCCATTCGGGACTGGGGGCGGGGGCGCTGCGGGTATCTGCCGGGGTCCCACTCTTTTGTCCCCATGATGCCTGTCTCGTTCTGCGTGGCAGGGAGCACTCCTGGGGATGATGGTGGTGTTCCGTCTGGGGGACCGGGGCATTGCATCCTGAACTTGCAGGCCTCAGGAATGAGGGTGTGGAAGCCGGGAGGCTGGGGGCGGCAGCACCTCAGGATGGGGGGTGGGAAGGGGATTCTTGGCGCTGCACCCAGTGCTGATTACCCTGCGCTCAGGCAGACTTGGGGTCCCCTCCCCCAGGCTCCAGTGGCCCCCTTGACCAGGCTCACCCCCACCTCAGCCCTGCGTGGCCACTCACATTTTCCAGTGTTTAGATTTTATCCGCTTTATTAATGAGGCAGGAGGCCGGTCAGGGGCCGGTGCCCGGGGGAAGAGGGGGACCCATGGGGAGCCCCCCCTCCTCGGGGGGAAGTTGGAGGGAGAGTAGCCGGGAGTGACGAGAGGGGTCCGCCCCCCACAGCCTTTGGGAGGTGCCGGCCGAGCCGGCACAGCCGCAGCACGGCGGGCAGCAGGGTGCAGCGGCTCATGGGGACCCCTCGTCTCGGGCGGCAGCTGGGGTAAGCGGCGAGGACAGGGCCACAGGGCAGATTTGGGGGGAACCTGTGCCTGTCGTGGCAGAGAGGGGTCCCGGGGGCAGCACCGCGGGCTGTGGGCACAGACTGGACGGGAGGGCGGGGCCAGAGGAGCTTCGGGGTCTGAGCAGGCCCCCCATCTCTCCCCAGTGTCCCCCGTCGCATGTGACATGAGCCCCTGCGGGCCCCTCAACCGGAGCCTGGCGGACGAGGCCACCCTATGCGCGGGACCCGGAGCCCCCAATGCGTCGGCCGGGCCGCCTCCGGGCGCAGGGGGTGCGTCGCCGGCGCTGCCCATCTTCTCCATGACGCTGGGCGCCGTGTCCAACGTGCTGGCGCTGGCGCTGCTGGCGCAGGCCGCGGGCCGGCTGCGGCGCCGCCGCTCGACCGCCACCTTCGTGCTGTTCGTGGCCAGCCTGCTGGCCACCGACCTGGCGGGGCACGTGATCCCGGGCGCGCTGGTGCTGCGCCTGTACGCGGCGGGCCGCACGCCGGCCGGGGCCGCCTGCCACTTCCTGGGCGGGTGCATGGTCTTCTTCGGCCTGTGCCCGCTGCTGCTGGGCTGCGGCATGGCCGTGGAGCGCTGCGTGGGGGTGACGCGGCCGCTGCTGCACGCGGCGCGCGTCTCGGCGGCCCGCGCGCGCCTGGCCGTGGCCGCCCTGGCCGCGGTGCCCTTGGCCGTGGCGCTGCTGCCCGCGGCGCGCCTGGGCCGCTACGAGCCGCAGTACCCGGGCACGTGGTGCTTCATCGGGCTGGGCCCCGCGGGCGGCTGGGGCCAGGCGCTGCTCGCCGGTCTCTTCGCCGGCCTCGGCCTGGCCGCGCTGCTGGTCGCGCTCGCGTGCAACACGCTCAGCGGCCTGGCCCTGCTGCGCGCCCGCTGGCGCCGCCGCCCCCCGACGGCCGCGCCCCGTCTCCGCCGCCGCCAACGCAGCCACGGGCCGGCCCGCGGCTTCCGTTCGGCCTCCGCCTCGTCCGCCTCATCGGCGCTCTCGGCCTCCGCCGGCTCGGGCCGCTCCCTGAGCCGGGGCTCAACGCGCCGGGCCCGCGCGCACGACGTGGAGATGGTGGGCCAGCTCGTGGGCATCATGCTGGTGTCGTGCGTCTGCTGGAGCCCCCTGCTGGTGAGGGGCGCGCGCGCCCACGCCCTCCCGCCCCGCCCCCGCCCCGCCCATCTGGAGCGGCTCCGCCGGACGGTCCAGCACGCCTTATTTGACTCTTTTCCGAGGACTTTCTGGCTGACCACAGGCCACGCCCCAGCCGCACCCCGACGCGCTCCCGGGGGCTTCACGCTTCGTGCTTCTCGTGCCTCTCCACTTCCCTGCCACATTCCTGCCCTTTGGGATACCTTGAACCGGCTTTCCCGCCTCCCCCGTGAGACCTGTAGCTTTTGCAAAGCGCCACCGTCCCCTCCCGACTCCTCTCCGGAGCACTTTGCCAGACTCCCGCTGACCCTTCCCCCCTACTCACACGGCCCCCACCCGCCCCGGGCTCACAGCTGCTTCTCCCACAGGTGCTGGTGGCGCTGGCCGTCGGCGGCTGGGCCTCCAGCTCCCTGCAGCGGCAGCTGTTTCTGGCCGTGCGCCTCGCCTCTTGGAACCAGATCCTGGACCCCTGGGTGTACATCCTGCTGCGTCAAGCGGTGCTCCGCCAAGTGCTCCGCCTGCTGCCCCCCCGGGCCAGTACCAAGGACAGCCCGGCAGGGCTCTGCCTGACCAGGAGCACCTGGGAAGCCAGCTCCCTCCGCAGCTCGCGGAACAGTGCCCTCAGCCACTTCTAGACGGCTCAGGACGCCCCCGGCCGAGGCCCAAGTCTCGGAGGCGCCCTCCGGACAATAAACCCGTCATTCTGCGGGTCCCATGGGGGCTGCAGAGGCGTTGCCCGCTTCCCCCTACCCGGGAGTGCGATCCCAAACGTGGCCACCTGGGGGAGCCCGAAGCCGGGGACAGGCCTGGGGAGGGGTGGGGCTCCGCTTCGGAACCGGGACCGCAACCTTCGCTCAAGGAGACGACTGCGTGGGGGAGGGGGGTCCCCCCTTCGCGGCCCCAGAGGCTCTCCCCAAACCAGCAGCCCAGCACCCTCGTCGCGCGCCCTCCCCACCCCCGTTTCTGCACAGAAGAGCCGGGAGGGCGCAGGAACCGGGCAAAGCCCAAAGTTTGCCTTTTTAAAAACTACTAAGAGCTCTGTGGGGGCGGGGGAGGGCCGGGGGAGGGAGGGAGGGCTAGCAGCCCCCCGCCACGAAGTCGAAGTCCCGGAAGGCGTCCTGTTCGGCGGCCGTGAGGGGTCGCGCGTCGCGGGGCGGCGTGAGCGTCGGGGCCTCGCCAGTGAACTCCTCGTCGAAGTTGCTGACGTCGGTGCGGCCCGCCAGGGTGGGCACGAAGGGCGGCGGCAGGCGGCGGGCCAGCAGCGCGTCCCAGCCCAGGGTCTGCGGGGGGGCAGGGGCAGGGTAGCGGGGGGGCCTTCGCGGGAGGCGCGCCGGGAAGGGGGTGGGCTGGCGGGGCGCCTTACCCTGAAGAAGGGCTGCTTCTTTACATCCTCTGCGTCCCGCTCGCTGGACCCCAGCCTGCGTTCCGGGTTTCTGCGCAGCAGCTGGGGGAGGGGGCAGCCGCGTCAGCTCGGGCACGGGGGGGGGGGGGGGGGGGGGGAGGAGAAGGGGGGAACCTCCAGGCCTCCCAGGCAGGTGGCTCACCCTGCGCATGATGCCGATGGCCTCGGTGGACAGGAAGCGCGGGTAGCGCACCTCATCATTGACGATGCTGTCGAAAACCTCCTCCTCGTCGTCCCCTGGGAATGGCGACTGCGAGGAGAGGAGGGTGAGACCCCTGTGCTACGTACTTGGTGCTGGCAGCCTACTGGGTACCGTTACAGAGGGCGGGGGTGCTCCTTCCCTTAAGCCACACAGCAGTGTCAGCACCGAGTGTGTGTGTGTGTGTGTGTGTGTGTGTGTGTGTGTGTTTAGGGGACAGGGGGACAGCTGGGCTCACCTCGCCCACCAGCATCTCGTAGAGCAGCACGCCCAGCCCCCACCAGTCCACGGCCCGCGTGTACGATGTGTCCGTCAGCACCTCGGGGGCCAGGAACTCGGGGGTCCCGCAGAAAGTGCTGGTCCGGTCTCCGTAGCCCATTCCTGGGCAGGGGCAGGGAAGAGGTGGGCGAGGGTCTGGACCCGCCTCCTCCGGTCTAGTCCCACCCCTTGGGTTCAGGCCGGTCCTCACCCTCCTTGCAGAGGCCAAAGTCTGTGATCTTGACGTAGCCCTCGGTGTCCAGGAGCAAATTATCCAACTTCAGGTCCCTGTGGGGGGCAGCGTAATGAGGAGTGGGCGGCCCAGGGATCCTGCCAGAAGTCGGGGCACCACCCCCCCCTTCCGAGGCTCACGGCCACACACACCTGTAGACTATCTTGTGTTCGTGGAGGAACTGTAGCCCCAGCACCACGCAGGCTGAGTAGAAGCTGCAGAGAGACGGGGGTGAGGACACCCCCCAGTCGCAGGGTGGGGCGGGGTGGGGGCGGAGCGGGGCGGGGCTGGGCTCACATGGCACGAGGCTCGGAGAACACGTCGCTGTGGATGTGGAGCATGAGGTCCCCGCCGGCCGAGTACTCCATCACAAAGCACACGTGCTCAGGTGTCTGGAAACAGCCAAACAGGTTGACCAGGAAGGGGTGTCCAGCGCTGGTCACCGCGGCCAGGATCCGCTTCTCACACATCAGGCTGGTGGGCGGGGCGGGCAGGAGTGAGGGGCCACTGCAAACCCCCACCCAGCACGTCCCACCTCTCCCCTGCGTCCTTGGCGACTTGCTGACAGGGCTGTGCATCCTTTGGTGAATCGCTTCCCAACCTGGAACTGTGTCTGCTCAATAGGCATCAGTGAGCAATCCGTCACCCTAAAAGCGTCCCCCAACTTCCCATTTCCCTGGCCAGGAGGAGGAGAGTCAAGTTCAAGATTACTTGGGGAGGGGGGTGTGAGTCACGGGAGATCTGTCAGAATTTAGCAAGAAGGGGAGAAGGTTGGATGAGCCTTTACCTTTGGAGGGGGGTGGGTCCAAGAGGGAGCTACAAGCAAAGCCCAGAGGAAAGCAGGGCTGAGACTCCTCTGAACACCTGGATACAGCCAGGCCTGAAGGCAACGCGCTCACGCTTTTCTGATCTATAGCAATAAATTTCTCTATTTGCTTAAGTCTCTCTGGGTGTGCGTGGGGAGTGTCCTGGTTGACAAAGGAGGGTTGGAGTTGTTCCCAGTGGTGCTTGGGGCTGAGGGCCTGGGACTCCTGCACGCAAGCCACGTCCCAGCCCTGTGTGCCTTTTCTCCGGTCCTTGCTCCCGTTACGGAGGAGGCGGCGGCCGAGGGTCAGAGAGATTTCCCCAGAGTGGAAGCCAGAGCCCAAAGCAGTGGTGGAGCAGTGGGCCCCACCTGAGCACAGACTTTGGAGCCCACAGCTCAGCAGATCTCTCTGCACAGCCCTGCTTGTCTCAGGACAGCTCCAGCCTCATGCGTGCCCAGCCCCAGGCCTCCTGAGGACCGAACCCCTGTGTCCAGGGCGGCAGCGGCCCCGAGCGCCCCAGGGTGGACCCCCACCTTTCCACCTCATCTCGCGCTACAATGTCCCCCTTCTTCAGAGCCTTGATGGCAAACAGCTCCCCGCTGGCTCGGAACTCTGAGAGCAGAACCTGAAACCATTGAGGGCAAAGGGGGTGAGGTGTGGGGTAGCCAGGGACCCCCACCCGGGCTGCTCTCCCTGCCCCCCCCCCCCGCCCCACCTCACCTTCCCAAAGTGGCCACGGCCCAGCACTGCCAGGAACTTGAAATCCTCCAGGGACAGGGGGGAGCTCCTCAGCGGGCTGCGGAGACACAGTGGGTAGAGATGGGGGCGAGGGGCGGGCAGGGGTGCAGCAGGGAGCGGGCTGGGCTCTCACCTGCACAGGGCCGAGCCTGGGCTCTCTCGGGTCTCCAAAGGCAGCTCTGGTGCAGGGGCGGTTTCCTGGATCGGGGAGCTCTGAGGCGCAGAGAGGAAGTCGGGGCGAAGGTAGTCACAGGTCACTCATAACCACAAGAGGCCTCCGGGGCTGTGGTTGACCGTTCCTCCTCCACGCCAAGCCCTCTGCTGCCCTGGCCCTCGCCTCCTGTACCCGCCTGCCCCAGGGCCTTTGCATGCAGTTCCCACACCCAGTGCCTTGTCCTGACATCCACCTGCCCTTTCCTCTCCCTTGCCCCTTCCCTCCTTCACATCCCTTGCACCCCCACCTACACCCATTGGTGGAAGACAGTGATCAGAGCTCCCCATGGTCCTGTCCTGCTACCCTGCTTTCTCATTCTCAAGTGTGAACCCCAGCAGGCTGCAGTGGGGTGCGGGGAGAGGCGACACCTGCAGATTGGGTGTCTACCGGGACGGGCTCCGGTCAGCTGGCTAGTGGCTGCCCGCACCCTTCTCTTCTAGGCATCGGCCCGTGAAACCCACCTAATTTGTTTCTGGGCCCCCACCCTCACTTCCCCAGCGGTGCTCAGGACTGACTCCTGGCTCTGTGCTCAGGGACAAGACCCAGGTTGGCCGTATGCCAGACGGGTGCCCTGCCCACTGTGCTCTCTCCCTGGACCTCCAAGGTGCCGGGCGCCATGAGCAGGGAGGAAGGCTGCAGTGCGGGGCTCCAGGGGCTATCAGCTGCCAGGGGACCTCAGGAAACACTAGTCCGCAAACTGAAGGCCCAGGACTTCTGAGACACAGATCAGCCTGTCCTCGCCTTTGACTTCGGCAGCCACGGGACGGGACAAGATAAGGGACTATACAGTCTCGACGGAAGCAGGTTTGGTTTTAAAGCCTGAGTGTGGATTCCTTGGAAATTTGTTTTTTTGGGGGGAGGGGTCCAGGAGGAGGGGACAGGTGGTGAATGCAGGAGCCTGCCGTGGTCTTGGCTCCTGGATTCCCAGCCCCCCTGGAGGGGCTGGAACTGGACCTGGGGGGGCTCCCGCAAGCTGAGCTGTACCCCGCGCGGCCACATCCTGCCCCAGCAGCTGCACAGGCTGGAGCCGCCTGAGGCGTGGGGCAATCTCTCCCCGCCACCGTCGGGCTGGAAGTCGGGCGCTCCCACACCCCGCGGGACACTCACCAGGCCGGAGGAGCTGGACAGCGAGCCCAGGGGGCTTTTGTGGGGTGAGCTGTCCGCGTCTGTGCCCAGTGTCAGCTTCTCCACTGATATGTCCCTGCGGCACAGAGCGGGGGTGTGGCAGGGGGTGGGGGGCACCACGGCGGGGGGGGGGTGGTGTGGGTGTGAGGGTGCTGGGGGTGTCTGCGGTTCAGAGCAGGGGTGTGTGGGTGGGTGTGGGGGTGCTGAGGGGGGTCTGCAGCATAGAGTGGGGATGTGGGGGGATCCCAGGGTGTGTGTGTGGCACACAGCAGGTGTGGGTGTGGGTGTGTGTGTTGGGGGGCTGTGCAAGGGATGTCGGCAGCACAGAGTGGGTGTGTGTGGGTGTGTGGAGGGATCTCTGAGCAGAGTGGGTGTGTGGGGGGTGCAGGGAATATTTCTACAGCAGAGTGGGCGTGTGGGGGTGCAGGGGATGTCTCTGCAGCAGAGAGGGGGTGTGGGGGTGAGGAATGTCTCTATAGCAGAGGGGGTATGGGTATGGGGGGGCGGGGGATGTCTCTGCAGCATAGAGCAACGGAGGGGGTGTGGGTGTGGGGGACAGGGGATGTCTCTGCAGCACAAAGCAGGTGTGGGGGGGTTGCGGGAGTGTCTCTGTGGCGGGAACAGAGTGGGGGTCGGGGTGGATTTCTGCAGCAGAGCACATGTGTGGGGGTGAGTTCTGGGGGACCCGAGTGGGTGGTGGCCAAGACGCCCCTGTGCCTCCTTCCTTACCCGGTGCCGCGGGCCTCAGCACCTGGGGACACCCCGGGACTGAAGGTGCTGGTGGGGGTGGGGATGAGTCTCCGGAGCAGCCGCACCCACGTGGCCACATCGATGTTCATCTGCCGGGCTCGCTGGAAAGTCTTCCCTGCGAGGGCGGATGGGTGGGGGCGTGGGTGCATCACCCTGGGGCCCCTCCCCCACCCTCAGCCCCAAACCCACTCCCGGCCTCACCTTGCTGCTTCGAGAAGATCTTCTTCTGCCGCCGGAGCCGGGGGATGCGCTCAATGACGGGATTGCGGAAGGTGACCTGGGCGGGGCGGGGACAGCAGCTGAGGGTCACAGTGCCCGCCTCCAGCAGGCAAGCAGGCCCTCCCTGACCCCAGGGAGATGCTAGAGAAAGCGAGGCACCTGGGGAGCGAACAGACTCCCCCCACGGCACCCTCAGGCACAGACACAGGGACAGGGAACGGGTCCCCCCCACATGCCCACCAGGCCCACCTGTGCGCTGAGCCCCATCCTCCCAGCTCCAGCACTTCCTCCGCTGGGCTCTAAGGTTATCACCCCATGGAGGGTTGGGGGCCATGCCCGAGGCTGAGCCCTGGCCACATGGACCATCTGAGCTGGGAGGTCAGACACGGGCAGGAAGGGCTCTGACACCCTTGCCCCTCGGGATGTGGTAAGAGGTGACTCTGCTGGGTGGTTCTAGAATGTTCCCCTCCAGATGGAATTTCAGGAACATGGATAGAGAACAGCACCCATGGAGGGCCCCAGGGTAGGGCATGAGGAAACCCCACAATGAGCGACTCTTGCATGGATACACCCCACGGCCTCCCCTGGGAACAAGTGGTGTGCTCTTCCCACCCCGGGGCCACCTCATGGCGCCCCATCTGCCAGGATCCTTCTCTTCACAAGCCCCCGATTATGAGCTCACAACGGAATGCTGAGCCAGAGCGAGGGGACCGCAGGCATAGGGTGTCACAGGCCCCGCCAGAAGTGAGTCCTGAGCCAGCGGCCAAACTTCCCTCCCCTCCAGCAGGGTTGGGGTCGCACCTCGGCCACCAGGCAGCCCTGGGGCTCCATGTCTAGCTGCACCTCGTGCCGCTCGTTGTCCAGGAAATCCTCCAGCTTGAGGAACTTGAGGGCGCAGAGGCCCCGCTGATCTCGCCAGAACACGGCCAGCTCCAGCTCCCGTGCCTGTGGGGGAGGCAGTCAGTGGGACCCTGGGGCCGTGCCCCGTCCCCACCCCACACGCCCCCTCCTCGAGCACCCCCGCCCCACTCACCCGCTCCAGCTCCAGGGTGAAGCTCTGGTCCCAGGCATGGGGCCCACACGGCTTCCAGGATGTGTGTCCCACCACGGCATTGTCCAGCTTCAGCACAGTTCTCACCTCGCCTGCGGGCACGGGTGCTCAGCAGAGGGCACGCCCTCCTGTCCTTTACCACGAGGTCCATCCCAACCCAGAAGGTCCAGGACGGGGGGCTGCGGTTCCTGTGCAACCTCGCTCCCCCCAGCACTAGCTGAGGTCACCCCTGAGTGCAGAACCAGGAATATACCCTGAGCACTTCTGGGTGTAGCCCTAAACCCTCCTCAAAAAAAAAAAGGAAAAAAATTCCAAGGGCCCCAAGCAGAGAAAAGGCGCCCGGGTCCAGCACCTCCCTCCAGGCCCACTCACTGGCGGTCTCCGCTTCGCCTTTCAGGCTGCTCCGGCCACTGAGGCTCCCGCTCCGGCTGTAGAGACCACGGGCCGGGCGGCTCAGAAAAGGGGTGCGGCTGTCCGGGGTTCCGGGTGCCCCCACCGACGGTGTGTGGTTCCAGGGGATGGTCTCCGGAAGGTCTCTGCAGCCCACCACACGTACCTCCAGGGTCCCTGAGTGAGGGGCAGTGAGGGATGGTGGAGAAGGTTGGAGGGTTCCAGGCAGCGCAGGGAGGGTGAGCGTTCAGGGCTCAGGAGCAGGGAAGCTCTAAGTGGGGACCCGGGCAGAGGAAAAGGGGGAATGTGGTGACAGCTGGAGCCACCCAGGGGGTCTGGACTGAGACAGGAGAGAGGAGGTGTGGGCCGCCCACCTGTGAGCGGAGCCGGTTTGCACAAGGTGCTGTAGTGCGTGGCAGGAAAGGGTCCGGCTAGGCGGGCACTGAAGGCAGGGGACGCTGCGGCAGCAAGCTCCTCTCGGAGCAGTCGCCCCTTGGGGTGGTCGGCGGGCAGCTCTGTGAGCCTCCGCTCCAGGGCCTCCCGGAGGAGCCCGAGCTTCTGGTTGGACTCAGTCAGCTTCTCCTGGGCCTGCAGCATGAAGGGCCAGCCTTGAGAATGCCATGGGCCAGGGCATATCTAAGACCCTTCTCAGCCACCTGGCAAAGCCCCACCAGTAGCCCCATCTCTCTGGGCACCAACGCCCCATGTCTATCTGGATCCTACCGAGGGCTCCCAGAGAACTAGGCCCGGACCCTGGATGACCTCCCAGAGGCCCGCCCACTATCAGGAACCCTGCCCCTTGGTGGTTTTCCCACACCTGGCCACGCTCCCTCAGGGTACAGTCCCTTCCTTGAGAACCTGCCTTCACGGAAATCCCACTTCTCAGTCAGGCCTTCCTGGGCTGAGGCTCCGCCCCCTTCTTCAAATTCCCCTCCTTGGCTGAGGTTCCACCCATGGGACCCCCCAACCAGGCCTTCTGGGACTAAGGCCCCGCCTTCCACGAAAGCCCCACCCCTTTTTGTGGCCCTCCGCAGGCCCCGCCCCTTGCTGACAGCTGTCCACAGACCCTGCCCCCTTGGAGGCTCCACCCTCGCAGCCCCGCCCCTCAGAGGCTCCACCTCTCACCCTTTGACAGTCCTTCACAGGCCCCGCCCCTTGCTGACAGTTGTCCACAGACCCTGTACCCTTGGAGGCGCTACCCTCGCAGGCCCCGCCCCCCCAGGCTCTACCTCTCACCACCCTGACAGAGCTCTGGACAGGCCCCACCCCTTGGAGGCTCCACTCTCGCAGGCCCCGCCCCCTCAGAGGCACTACCTCTCACCACGCTGACAGAGGCAGCTACAGGCCCCGCCCCCCTCACAGGCCCTGCCCCTCACCTCGCTGACTGCCTTGCGGTCCGGAGCCTTGGCAGCACTGAGCAGGCGGAGCACATTCTTGGCACCCTCGGCCACAGCGTGCTCCACTCGGAAATGGTGTCGCAGCTCCTCAATGCGCAGCTCCACTGCTCCCAGGTCCGGACTCCCTGTGGGCAGAGGGAGCAGGGGTGCTGTGCAGTCAGCTTGGGGCAGACAGACAGACAAGCAGCTGTCCAAGAAAGGGGGTCACTGACTGCCACCAACATGCCCGTTTGTCCGATGGACGATGGTGGTGCTGCCCCCATGTGATCCACTGGCGTGACTGTGTTGGTTTCACCCAGTGATGTTGGTGCCAGGTCACTCCCCCACCTCTTGCACAGGCTCCCAGCTGCAAACCAAGTGCTGGCCCCGCTGAGCCGCTCAGCTCCCTGGCCCGCTGAGGACTGGCTCCCACGGAGACAGCCCAGGCACATGGAAGGCCTATCTGGGGACAGTGGCCTACACAGGCATGCAGTCAACACAGGCTTGCGGACAGAGCCTTCTGGAAGGCATGCTCAGCCCATAGGTGTTCACAGGCTTTAAAACAAAATCAGCGGGGCTGGGCTGTGGTAAAGCAGCTGAGTAAAAGGCCTCACACATGTGAGGATTTGGTCGAAGGCACCACACACAAAAAAATGCCAGGACCAGGCTCAGGATGGTACCCGGTATGAGACACACACTTGCGAGAAGGCTGCTCTGGCTAAGACTGTCCTGGCTGTACTGCAGACTTTGAGGCCTGGTCACTCCTTCAGGATGCCCTAGCGGATCCTCAAACCCATATGGAAACAGCACACGCTGGGCTAGCACACAGCTGCTCCAGCAGGCTAGCAGGATGAGACAGAGACTCCCCAGATGTTTCCCACCAGAGTCAGGGAGGGAAGGGCTGGGCTGGAGCACAGGCTTTGCCCGCAGGAGCCCCGCTTCTAGCCCTGGCACTGCTGAGCATGGTCTCTGGGGCGCTGTCCCCCAGAGAAGAAAAGGTGACACGGGTGGTGAGTACAATGCAAAAGCAGCCTCCTGAGAGGATACAGCCATGTGCCAAAGGCATGTGACTTCCAGGGCTGGAGAGAGAAGTCAGCAGGGACTTGGCTCTGCATGCAGCAGGCTCCATCCCATCCCAACCCTCGCACTGTCTCCTGAGCACTGGGCTGGGAGTAGCCCATCCAAAAGTAGCCCTTCTGGATGTGGTCTCCAAATCAAACAAAACTTAAGGGAGCTTGAGTTCAGCCGATCTTGTACAAATCTCAAGTGAGGATACAAAGAAAAACTGAGGTGAGAGAGATAATTCAGGGTTTAAGGCTTGTAGACCTTAACTCCATCCCCAGCACCACCACCAAGCACCCCTGGGTATGGCCCAAACCCCCAAAAGGAAGACCGAGGCGGGATCCACCCCACTGGGAGGTACAGCATTTATTTCTGGGTCTCCAAAGTGCCAGGTTAGGAGCCAAGTTCTGTCAAGTAGGCTGCAGGTGTGGCTGGCTCAGGGCAAGGTGCTCACCTTGGGTGTCCTCCGGGGCCGCCTGGCTCTCCAGCTGGCCAGCCTGCTGCAGCGCGCGGCGCAGCTGCATGCGGATGATGTCAATCTTGGTCTTACTGTCCTGCAGCATCTGCTGGGCAGTGAGCAGCAGCTTCCGGTCCTGTAGGCAGGAGCGGGTGAGAAGGGCCAGAGGGGCAGGTGGATTGTGCCTGCCACTGCTACAGCCCACACGGTGGTGCTGGTGGGGGGAAGGGGTTGTGGTGGTGATGGAGGAGGGCATAGCCCATGGGCCAGAGCCCCAGCTCTGACACCTAAGCTACGTGACTACTGACCAGTCACTCAACCTCTCTGGGTGCCAGGCCCCTCAAGCAGGCGCTGTTCTCCAGCCCAGGGCTGGAGGGTGAGTTGATGGAGGGGGCCAGGGTGAGTCTCAGGTCTGATCCAGGAATCTGACACTGCAATGGTCAGGGCTCACTCCAGGTTCTGCGCTCAGGAGTCACTCCTGGCAATGCCCAAGGGATGAGGCTGGCGGTGTGCAGGGCACCGCTTTCCCCTCTACAGGCTCTGCAGCCAAGACTCTGTGTGTGGGAGCAGGGACCCCATGTTGTCTGTCCAAGTGCCGAGAACCCACTACATTTTTCCACGCCCTGCAGCCAGCTCATACCCTGCACGACTGTCCATCTGCGGGCGTGGCTCCAGGGCTTGGACACCCGCTGCCCCCGCCCCCACGCCCACGCCTGTGCGCACTCACCTTGGTGCTGCCATTGCTGTAGGTCTGGATCATGTTCTCGGCGCCCTGCCGCACCTTCAGCTCAATGGCCAGTTGCTTCTCCAGCCCGGCCACACGGCTCAGGCTGGTGGCGGAGCAGGCGGGGCCGACCGCCCCGGGGGACTGGGGGGCATCTGGGAGGGGGGGAACACACACACATAAGGTCAGCCGCGCCCCTCACCCGCCAGTCGCGCCCCTCTGGGGTGGCCCCTCACCTCCGGAGCCCCCCGCGGGGTCGGGCAGCACCACGTGCGCGTGCAACTCCTGCAGCTGCTGGTGCAGCTGGTCCAGGCGGCGCGCTGAGCCCCGCAGCAGCAGCTCCACGGGGCCCAGGCTGCGGCCCAGGTCGGTGGTGGCGCGGCGCAGGTTCTCGGCGCCCTCCTTGAGCTTCAGTTCTTTGCGGATCTCCCTCCGCAGCCGCTCCCGCTCCAGTTCCAGCTGCTGCTGCACCCCGGGAGCCGCCAGGTCGGCGCCCGCCAGGCCCAGCTGCTCCAGCAGCGACCAGCCGTGGGGCTCACTCTGCGTGGGGGGGGACACAGGCAGTGTCAGGGGCCACCTTCTGCAGACGCTCCCAGACCGAGACCCCTATTCCTCCCTCCTCTCGCTTTCCACCCGTACCAAGGAGCCAGCCCGCATGCAGCAACTAAGCAGAACCCCACCGAGTCCAGGCACCGCGTAGGGGTACCAGCCTCGCCAGGAGCACCCTGAGCTCCGCCAGGCATGCCCAACCTCCCCACACAAACACCAACTTTCCCAGGCAAACATTTACTGGTCATGAATCATAGAGATTTAATTTACTTGTTTGTTTTTGTTTTTGCTTTTTGGGTCACACCCAGGAATTACTCCTGGCAGTGCTTGGGGGACTTAAGGGATGCCAGGGATCAAACCTGGGTTGGCCTCATGCAAGGCAAACACCCTACCCGCTGTTTTATCGCTCTGGCCCCAGGAGAAATTTACCTTAAATTTTATATGACACTACCCTGGGCCGGAGTGACAGTACAGTGGGAGGGTGTTTGCAGGGCATCCCCGCGCCCCAAGGACCCCCAAGCCTGCCAAGAATGATCTCTGAGTGCAGAGGCAGGACTTCAGTCCAGAGCACCCCAGGTGTGGACCCTAAACCAAATTAATACATATTACATGACAACCCCCTTTACATCCAGTTACGGGCCCTGACCCATGGTCCCAGGGACCAGGAACTAAGCGACCCCTCAGCTTGTCCGTTGGGGACCCTCTCATGGTGCCCACTTCTTACAAAGTGGGCGGCTGTGGGGGACAAGTGCAGCATTGCACCCGGGAGCCCCAACTTCCCTTGCATGAGGCCCACCCTGCTTCATTCCCTGGCACCTCACAGGGGCTTCCGAGCTCCTCCAGCAGTGCTCCCTGACCACAGAGCCAGGAGGAAGCCCTGAGCATCCCCAGCTGTAACCCAGAACCCAAACAATATCAATGGCCAAGTAAAATTAGGTGGTCACTGGCCCTGGTGTGACTCCCCAGCACCACACAGGGTCCCCTGAGCACTGCCACTGTCAGGAGTGATTCCTGAGCACAGGACCAAGATTCAGCCCTGAACACCAGTGGGTGTGGTTCAACCCCCACTCCAAAAAGACACCCCACACTGGAAAGCCACCAAGTGGACTACATGACGAGGGCTGCAGAGCCAGACACCGTCCGCACCCTCGTGCCCGAGCAAGGCCTCAGGCAGTCTCGCTTCCCCTGCTGCCCGCCCTATGCAGGGGCCCCAGGGGCTCTCTCCACCCCCCGCACGCAGAGGTTCTCTAGTGGTCCCCTAGCTGTATCCCCAAGCTCCAAGGGCCTGAGGACAAACCTCACGTCCCCTGGTGCCCTCTCCACCGGGAGCCCCACGGCAGGAGCTGAACCCTGCCCTCCTTGGCACCCCCGCCCTGAGGCACCCAGAGACGGCGCTGAATGCTGTCTCCTTCCGAGCCCAGCCACAGGCCACCCGTGCTGCTCCCTTTAGACCCAAACCCAGAAATCCAGTGGGCAGGGCGCTCCCCTCATCCCCTAGAGGAGACCCCCACTGTGCCCACCTCCAGCTCCTGGTCCAAGGGGAGCTCGGCCTCCGCCATCCTGGGTCCAGCCGGGGACCCACCCTCCTCCTCGCTCACCACTTCCTCTTTCCGGTTCTCCCGGCACCCACTGCGGCCTCTTGGGGGTTGGGGACACGACTCTATGGGGCTGATCCTGCTTCTCTGGGTGGAGTGAACCCACCTGCCATTCAGAGATGCCCTTGGAGGGGCGAGTGTGATGGCACTTGGTGTCCACTAGTGTGGACTTGGGGGGCAGGGTCCCAGAGGAGTGGAGGGTGCACATGCCCCCAGTGCAAATAACACCCCCCTCCGCTTCCGCATTCCTCACTTGGACGCCACTGCTGACCACAGCTGGGGGCCCAGGGGGTCTAGCCGGTGCTGCAGTGTCGCCCAGAGGTCCCCACATCAAGGCCTCAGCCCGGAAGCCTGGGCTGAGACTGCCCCCCCAACACACACACACACACACACACACATGCATGCGCGCGCACACACGCTCGCACACACACACACACACCCCCGTGGCTCACACAAGGTAAAGCTCAGGGACCACTGGGGCTGGAGTGATAGCATAGTGGGTAGGGCGTTTGCCTTGCATGCGGCCAACCCGGGTTTGATTCCCAGCATCCCATACAGTCCCCTGAGCACCGCCAGGAGTAATTTCTGAGTCCACGAGCCAGGAGTAACCCCTGCGCATTGCCAGGTATGACCCCCCAAAAAAAACAAAAAAAAACTCAGGGACCACTATTCTGAATCAAGGAGACAGCATCCGGGTTAGGAAGTGTCGACACCAGTCTCCCTACTGGTACCCCATGGCACCCCTGAGCACTGAAGCTGCTGCCGCTAGCATGAAACCACCAGCCCTGTAGGCCCTGGACACAGCTGGCAGGGAGGGGCCCCCCAAATAATCAGCACTACTGCAAGCTGCACCTGAGTCAGCTCAGGAGGTGGGTGCTCTTGGGATCCCCTTTTTCTTTGCTTATCTTTCTTGTGAAGGGGTCAGGTGTTGGGATCACTCCTAGTGGGAATTGGGGACCATAGGTGATGCCCAGGGTGGGCCCCTGCCCCGCTGTCCTCCCCTTCCCGCCCAGGGGCCTTTTTTGCTACCTGGATGGTCGGGGGAGGGGAGCTCCTGGTACCCGGAGGTGGGGACCAGATATGCTGCCCCTGCTCCAAATATCAGCAGTGTCCAGTGTGGAGGTGACAAATGTGGTGGGGCCACAGACTCACAACTGGAGCTGCTCACTGGGACCCCCCCCACACACCCTACTTTGCCACCTGAGGATTTCCAGCATGTGGTGCTTCCCCTCCCCCATCCCCAAAGCCCAATTTTTCCCAGGCAGGAGCAAGACTCAGAGAGGTAAAGTCACTAAGCCAGGGTCGCACAGCCCAGTCAGCTGGCCGCCCTGTCCCCACGCTGTCCCAGCAGGCAGGGCTAGGGCCAGCCAGGAGTGGGGCCGGCCATCCTGGGGGAGTAAGGCCAGGGAGGGAGGCCCCACCCCCGTGACTCACTCCTGCCCAGAGGGCAGGGGTTACCCGAGGACCAGGCAGCCAGGCAAAGCCACGGGAGACCCAGGGCTGAGGGCCCGCCTCCCAGGATGCCCCTCCCCTCTTCCCGTGCAGGGCCCCAGAGCCCCCACGTCCATCCGTCCGTCCAAGATTTCAATGGCCTCGGCGTTTCCGGAATCTGGACAGGACATCCGTTTGCCGGACACAAAGCAGACAGGCACACGGGGAACAGACAGAGGGGCAGGGCGGCAGACCTGGGCAGCCACGACAAGGGTCAGTGGAGCAGGGTAGCGGGTGCAGGCGAGGGAAGGGAGAGGGGCCAGGCCGGGCATCGCAGCCTCTGCGCCATGGCATGACCGGATGGGGACAGGCAAGCCAATGCATGCCAGGTGCCTGCCGAGGGCTGGGGGAGCAGTGGGGGGCCTCCTCCAGGCCCCAAGGTCTGACCTTGTGTGTCCGGCAACACCAGATTCGCCCAGCTCCGCGGCAAGGCTGACAGGCCATCAGCAGGGCTGGGGGGGGGGGGGGAATGACGTGGGGGAGGGGCAGAGAAGGGATGGGCAGGTGCACAGGAGACAAAACCTGGTTATCCAGCAACCAGATGACCCAAGGAGGGGAGGCAGGAGGGCTGGCTCCGCACCGGGCCATTTGCCCTCCAAGTGGAAAGGCTCCCTGCTTTGTCCAGGGGTTGGCCGGGGGCTCTGGGGGGGGGGGCGGGGGGGGGGGAAGCACGCAGGAAGCGCGCTGTGCAGGTCACCGGTGCGGGTCACCGATGCGTGCCCATCTGTCCCGCCCAGCCTGTCACCTGCCCGGGGTCGGGTGTCAGCTGGGCCGGGACACTCTCCACCTGGGATAAGGTTCCACTCTGGCAAACCCTCCGGGCTGCCTCTACCCGCCCTCCCACCTAATGAACGACTCTCACGCTTCCGTCAACAGGTGCCAATCTGGGCGGCGTGGGGATCATCGTAAAGTGACCCGGAGGGAGGCGGGGGGCGCCCAGCGTGCGGCGGGGAGGGCGCGGGCATGGGCCAGAGCCTCCTGCCCGCCGCGGGCACCGCGCCATGCACCTGTCCCAGGTGCAGCGGCACCTGCGGGTCTCAATCGCCCGCGGACAGGGAGCGCGGGGGCCACCCGCGCCGGGCGGGCAGCAGGACCCCAACACCCCGGGAGGAGGCTGCAGTCCGCCCCCTCGGATTTCCAGGGAGTGGCCGCGCGCAGGGGTGCGGCTGGGGGGTCTCTCCGGGATTCCCCGACTCCCCAGCCGGACGGACCTCCACCTGCCAAGGGGACACCCGGGGGCGGGCCTGGAAAAGGGGGTGCCGACGCTCAGAGGGCCCTGCCGCCCTCGCGGCGCGCCCCAGGTGGGAAGAAGGGGGCCCGGCGGGGCACGGGCGACGGGGAGCGGGGTCCCCGCGCCGTCCGGCCCCGCGGCCTCGGGTCCTACCTGCACCGCGTCGCTGGCCATGTCCTCGCGCCGCCCGCCCGGGGGCCCCGCGCCGAGGGAGGGCCGGCGAGAGGGGCGCGCGTGCACGCGGCGCGCGGCGGGCAGGGGGCGCGCGGCCCACACCGGCCTGCTCCACTCGGGCCCCGCCTGGCCAGGCCGCCGCGTCCGCGCGCCGCGCCCTCCGGCCCCAGCGGCCGCCCGGCCCGGTCACGTGAGCCGAGGTCGGCGCCCGGGGAGGGGGCGGGGCCGGGGGCGTGTCGGGGCGGGGCTCCCGACGGCCCCCGGGGCCGCAGGCCCCGCCCCCGCCGCCCCCTCCCCGCGCGCTCCGCGGCCGTCCCACACTGCAGCGCGCGGGGAGCTTCGCGGCCGAGGCCTAGGGGGCTCCCGGGGGCACCCTTGCAAGAGAGATCCCCGACCCGGCGCGCCCCGCGGCTCGGCCCATGTGAACTCAGGCCTCCTGGGCCGCCGGGAACCGAGCGCGCCTCGCTCTGATGCCCCCGGGACCGGACCTCGGCTCCGGACCGCCCCCGCGCCTTCCGAGAGAACCCCACCCCGAGCTGCGTGCGCCCCCGCCCGAGACGCGAGAAGTACGTCCCTGCCCACCGCGGGGGAGGTTGAGCGGACGGTGCGTGCCAGCGGGGCTTGGCGTGCGCCGAGGCTCCGGCCGGCGCCGGTGGAGCCTCGGTTCTGCCGCCCAGTGCGGACTGGCCTTGGTTCTCGGGGTGCTGCCCCATGAACGCAGAGGCGTGCCCGCGCGAAGGCGGAGGGCCGAGGCCTCTGCTGGGGATCCCCCAGGGTCCCCGGAGAGTCCGCTTCGCGCGGCTTTGGCGCCGAGCCCACCATGCGCTGCCTTGGAAACCCGGAGCCTGCGCCAAGTTGCGCTCCCTGGGGTACCGGCGCGGCGCGCCCCCTGGCGGCGGTGCCGGCGCACGGCCGCGCTCCCGGGACCGGTTCCAGCGCCCCGGACTGCGCCTCCCTGGGTTTCCCGTTGCGGGAGAGCAGAGAGTAAAGGAAGGAGTCGAGGAGAAGAAGTGATGCTCTCTACAGCTGGCCCCCGTTCCCCCTTCCCGGGGTTCCTCACCCTGCACGGTCTCACCTTGACCCTGTTTTCTGGTTCAGCCCTGGGCCTCAGAGTCTTTTTTTCTACCACTGCCCAAGGGCATCAGTGACTCAGATGGTGCCCCTGCTCAGCCTAGAACCTTCCAAAGCTCCTACCTTTCTCTGCATAAGGCAGTCACACCCAGCTTGCACTAACCATTTAGATTCCTTCTTTCTCCTTCCTCAACCCCTGGCTGGCTCAGCTCCTCAAAGCCTCGTGGTTGTGCCTCAACGGCTTTTCATCTGAATCTGAATCTGAGATAAAAAGGCCAGAGAGCCTGAACAGCGATGAAGGAAGGTGCTTGCCTTGTGCACAGCGAACAGGATTCGATCCCAGCGCTGCAGAGGGTCGCATCTCAAGGAGTAATCCCTGAGCATCTCTGGTTGTAAATCCTGTATTTGATCGGGTTCCCTGAACAAAAGCAGAAGGAACCCCTTGCCTGCGTCCCTGTGAGGCTGAAAAACCAAACAGGTGGGGAGCTGTGTTTGGGTTTTCTGCCTTTCATGGGCAGGCAAGGACACCAAGGCTCAGAGGACCGCACCCCAGTGACCCAGATGGCTGCCCTGGCCCCAGAGTTTGCTGTGTAACTCAGCCAGGCTGCCCAGCCAGCCTTGGTTCTTGGGGACCCAGGATCTAGAGATGGGCCTTGCACTTGCCACGCTCCAGGCTGCCTCCCCGGATGGAGCTGGGGAACCCGGCCAAATTCTCACTGTTTTACTCACTGAGTAGTTATCGATGCCCGCTTGGGGCCTTTGCTGGTGGCTCTGGGAACTGAGACCCAGCTGGAAACTGGTATACCCTATAACCTTCACTTAATAGGGCCTGTCCCGACAGTTGCTGGGGTGGCGTCCTGGTCTGGGACCACAAAAACCACACCCCACCTGCACCTGCTGGAGCTCAATCCTGGGCTTGGGGATGCTCCTGAAGAACCACCTGCTCCTCAAGCTGCCTGCCCTCCCCTCACCCCTATAGCACTCTGGTTGCCTCTGCTCCCCCACACAAGCTTGCCTTCTAACCACAGGACCTTTTCACATTCCCTTCCCCCATCACACTCTTTAAAAAAAAAAAAAGGAAAAGGTCTTGGGTGAGGAGTCTGGATTTATTTATTTACTTTCGCTTTTTGGGTGATACCCAGTGATGCTCAGGGGTTAGTCCTGGATCATGCACTCAGGAATTACTCCTGAAGATGTGCTCAGGGGACCATATGAGATGCGAGGAATCAAACCCGTATCAGCCATGCAAGGCTATCGCTCCAGCCCCCAGGAGTCTGGGTTTAGAGGCCTGGAGGGCAGGAGCAAGGGCGGAGGGCTTCCCTCTCCTTACACCTTCCTCAAACCAGCCAGTTCACTCCCACTGGCAGTGTCCTTGCCTGCCCATGTGATGCCAGGGACCGAACTTGGCCTCCTGTGTGCCAGGCCTGAGCTGCAACCTGTAGTTTATCTCCTCTGCCCACCTGCCTTTTTCTGTCATTTTCATCTTTGCTCTAATGTCACTTTAATATTTTTTAGAGGTGATACTTTTTCTGATACATCCCCTTCCCCAAACTCTCCCCCACCCCCAGTAGCTTGATTTTTTTTTTTTCTGGACAAATGGCAGATGCACAATTAGAGGGGACTTTCTTGCCTCTGTCCAGAACAGTTGGGTGCTGCCCCTCAGGGATGTTGGGGTCTCTTCACTGCTGGGTCCCCAACTCTAGGCACTGGGAAGATACAAAGACAAAATCTAGTGCTGAAAACCAGAGGCTGGTGATTTTTTTTTTTTTGAGGGGGGTGGGCGGGCAGGGTTGCTCCAGGCGCTCCTGGTTAGGGTTAAGGTTTTCACCCAAGAACCTGCCAGAGCCAGCATGGAATTTTAGGCGGAAGAATCACACTGAGGCTTTTTTTTTTCTGTAAAAATGTAGCTCTGTTCCATCAGAGAAACCCCCCCCACACCACCCCCAGAGTTCTCTAACCTTGGGGAAGGAAATGTATAGAAATGTATCCAGTCCCCACCAACAGGAAAAGAGAAAGAGAAAGTGTTTTCCAAACCAGACAAGTGGCTACTGTTTCCCCTCCTTACAGGCAGAGTGATACTCTGTATCCCCTTGGCCCAGGATCTGTGACTTTACTTCTGTGCCTCAGTTTCTTCCCTAAATGAGGGTGATAAGAGCTCCAGCAGGAGAGACAGTGCCAGGCGCTTGCCCTGCTCGCGACTGACCCAGGTTCAGTCCCCCCCCCCCCCCTGTGGTCCCCTGAAAAGTGATCTCTGAGCTCAAAGATGATTCAGCCCTGAGCACCACCAGGTGTGGCAGGAGGACAAAGCCTAGGGATGCCAGGAAGTTGAAACGTATTTATTCCTGGACCAGAGAGTACAGCCGGGACTGGCCTTCCATTCTGTGATTGCATTTGGTCTTACGAGCACTAAGCCAGGAGCAAACCAAAAGAAATGAAATGTTTCTTTTGTTTGATTTTTTTCTTTAATTTTCTCCCATACAGTTGGTGCTCCCACTTGCCAAGGGTCTGGTGTGTGGGGCTGTTTTCTCATCCCATCAGCCCCCACCCCACTTGTCTCCCACCCTCTGCTTTGGATAGCACCTAGCTGGGGGGGGGGGGCTCGTTCTCCACCCGCAGGAGGTGCCACCAGCCCTGGGGAGGGAGAGGAATTGTATTTGAATTCCCACCCACTCCCTCCCCCGACCCCTTAGCTCTCCTCCCTGGCCATCTCCTGCGCATCAAGCATCACATTTTGTGACTTACTAAAAAAGAAAAGATGGGGCTGAAGTGATAGCACAGCAGGTAGGACATTTGCCTTGCATATGACCAACCCAGGTTCAATTCCCAGCATCCCATATGGTCCCCCAAGCACCGCCAGGAGTAATTTCTGAGTGCATGAACCAGGAGTAACTCATGAGCATCGCCAGGTGTGACCCAAAAAGAAAAAGGAGGGGGGTTCTGTGGAGTTTTATTTAAAAAAAAGTCATAAACAAATTTTTAGGTATTTTGGTTTGCTTTCGAAGGGAAGGGTTTGGTCCACATGCAGCTGTACTCTCAGGGCTTACTCCTGGGTCACCATATGTCATATTAGGAATCGTGCCAGGGAACCTATACGAGGCGAGAACACTCACCCCTGTCCTATCTCTGGGGCCCAGAGACCAATTTTTCGGTTGGTTTTGTTGCTTTGGGGCCACACCCAGTAGTGCTCTATTCGCTGGAGCACTTCTGGCGGGTCTCGAGGGACCATCCATGGTGCCAGGAGTTGAACCCGGGTTGGGCACAGGTGAGACAGGCACCTTATAGTGTGCTCTCTCTCCAGCCCCTCATAACCAATTTGGGGACTGGAAAATCAGGGCACAAAGATTAAAGAGTGGTGACAAGTGTGCAGTGAAATAAGGTAAATTGCAAAATCACGGAAAACCTGATTGACCCACCCTGAGCCGGGCGAGGCACTGGCCTCCGGACAAAGGCTTTGTTTTGTTTTTGCTTTAAGGACCACACCCAGTAGTGCTCTGGTAACTCCTGGCTGAGCTTGAGGCCCGGCGGGCTGCCAGGGGCAGAACCGAAGACCCCCAGAGACAAAGCTGCACTGGAACCCAGAGAACTGTCTCCTCAGCCTTACACTAAAGTGTTAGTCTGACTGACCTTAACCTCAAGAGTAGATTCCTACAAGTTGGACGGCAATTATGTGGCCACTCTTTCCTTCCAGCTCTTGAGGACCCATGCAGGTTCCTGATAAGGATTCTGCAGGCAAGGATATTGCAGCTGAGAGAAGCCTCCATCACAGCATTTTCCTCCTCCTCCAAGGGTGTTGCTTGCATGCAACTCCGAAAATGGAACCATTTAGAGAGCATTAAAAACCTTGGGGAATTAAATGCTCAGTAACCACTTGATTGAATAGCCTGATCTACACAACACGTTCTCAGGTCCCCTGGTGCTGGAGGAAACAGCAGTGAGAGCACTTGCCTTGCACACTACCCTGACTTTGATCCCCCACCAATAAATATGGTCCTTGAGCGCTGCCAGGAGTGTTCCTGAGCACAGATCCAGGCAGAAGCCCTGGGCACTGCTGTGTGTGAACCTAAAACAGCGAGAGAGAGACCTTCCCTCCACAGGCCACTCAACAGCCACCAAGAACTGCCTGACTCGTCAGCAGCAGCAGCATGGACCAGAACCCAAAGCTAATTAATGTCTTCAAAGAAGACAGATGCCAGAACCAAGGAACCCGTTCCACAGATGGGAAAGGCAGAATGGGAAAACTTATCTCTAGGGCTCAAAGTCTCACCAGAGTAGGGCATGGGGTCCAGTAGCTGAAGAGCACAGCAGAAATTTCTGGAGGGAGGGTAGGAATTTGGAACTGTTTCATGTCTTATGGGCAAGTGCTGACAGTGATCAGAAATCATCATGCTGGGGCTGGAGCTATAGCACAGCAAGTAGAGCTCGTGGTCGACTGGGGTTCAATTCCCAGCATCCCATATGGTCCCCCGACTACAGCCAGGAGTAATTCCTGAGCACCGCTCGGTATGACCCAGAAAACTAAAAAAAAAAAAAAAATCATTCTTTTTCTTGGTTCCTCCTGGCTCTGCACTCAGGAATCACTCCTGGTGGTGCTCAGAGGACCAGATAGGATGCTGGGGATTGAATCAGGGCCCACAAGGTACTAGGCAAACTTCCTACCTTCTGTAAGATCACTTTGGCCTTTGTGTTTCTTTATCAAGTTTACTTAGTATATAAAGTAGGGGTGAGGTGTGGGTTAAAGTTTGGTAGCAAAGTTTTCGGATTACTTTCTGCCGTGCTGGGGATCAAACTCGGGACCTCACATACGCAAGGCAAGAGAAGAAAAAGTTTGAGTGCAGTGTCGAAAACATCCTGGTTTTGTGGTCTGAACAGGCATGGCCCCCGGCACAGGGTGTGACCAGGCTGTGACCCTCAGCAAACCCTCAGGAAATGTGGCTTGTGACCAAGTCTCACTCCCACGCCCCAGGGGGGCCCTTCCCCGGCTGCCGGTGGAAACTCAACGCAAGTTCCGAGTCTCCCCTGGAGTCTTTTCAGGGCTCCTGCCCGGGACCACCCGGGATTGCAAACTGGGTCCCACTGAAAAGTCCCGGTCACGGGGGCGGGGAGAATGGGGACCTGCGGGGAGGCGCCACGTTTCTTAAGGGCGAGTCGCCAGCTCATGGACCAGCCAACCTGGCTTCTATAGGCCAGCAATAAAAATGGCGGCGCCCACTAGGGCCAAAATAAATAATAATAAAAAATAATCCACCCCCAAATCTCGTCACGTGTCCGCGGGAGGGCGGAGCCGAGACCAGCCACTCGACCAATGAACCCGAGGCGGGTGGCACGCCTCTTTTCATCTCCACCAATAGCCTCGCTAAATTGCCCTCAAGGTCCAATCACCGCGCCCATCGCTACCGAGTGACATGCAAGCGGACCAGTGGGCGCGCGCCGTTTGACATCCGGCCCTAGACTCGCGGCGGCTGGTGCCGGGGCGCGCGGAGCGGTGTCGGCAGTCGGCGGTGCCTCCAGCACGCGGCGGCGAACGGGGACGGGGGTAAGCGGCGGCCTGGGCGCGGGGCTGCACTGCGGGACGAGGGGCAGCGGGCGAGCGGGTGAAGGCGGACGCGGGAGGCTGCGGCCGGTGCGGGCGGAGGGGGCGCGGGCCGGTTGGGGTGTCCCGGGCGGTGGCCGTTGGGGCGCCGGGGCGCATGCGTGGGGGCCGGGCGGGCCGTTGGCGCTCGGGTCGCGGGAACCGCCCCGGGGGCCTGTCATGCCGACCCCGAGCCCCGGCCGGCCTGGGGGGGACCCGGGTAAAGCCCGGCGTCTGGGCGAGGGGCCCGCACTGAGTGGGTCGCGTCTTGCAGTAACCACTGGGGGGGTCGAGCGCCTTCTCCCTACCCCCCACTCGGCACTGGTTTTGCTCTTTGCACTGATTAGGGCAAAGGAAGTTCACTTTGGGGTCGAGTAACGTCTCTCCACCCAGGGTTCCCATCTCTGAAGTTGTCATTGACCCAGACCCCTGCACCCCGGGGGCCTCTGGCACCCCAAACCCAGACGGGAGCGCCCGCCGGTCACCAGGCCGACTCCTCCTGGCCTGCTCATTTCCACCTGTCTCAGCCGCTTCTGGCAGAATCTATTCCTGGGTCGCTCATGGGGGTCTCCTGCCAGGAGAAAGCACTTTCAATGCCTCTCACCGACTTTTGCTCCCCCCCCACACACACACACAATAGGCATCTTCCACCTGCCTATTTCCTTGAAATGCCCCATTCCCAGGGGTGAACCCAGAGGAGGCGCCAGGTAATCAATCAGTGGATCAGTCACTCAATTGCTGATTGTCCCGGTGCTGGTCTTATCCCCAGTTGTCTCCACTGAGCCCTGTGGTTTGCTTTGTGAACCCCTCGGCCCTGAAGTCTTGTGCTTGACCCCTGCGCCCCAAGCAGCAGCATTGTCCACAGGGGCTGGTGGCCCCATGAGAAAACCTGACCTTTCCTGCCCACCTGCCCCACCTGTGACCACTGGGGGCAGCAGGAAGTGTTCTTCCAGAGCCACAGACCCCTCCAGGAAGAGGGGAACCCCAGACCTTCTGGGGCTTATGGAGGGAACCCACACCTGGTAGTGTTTGGGGGCCCTGTGGGGGGCTGGGGGTCAAACCTGGGATGACTGTGCAAGGCCAGCTGTACTGTTGTTCTGGCCTGACCTGGGTTTAGAGGCTGCTCTGGCGACTGTGGGGAGGAGCAGCTTGGCTGGGCAGGGGACCGCCTGGAGGAGGGTGACAGGGCTATTGGCTTTAGGCAGGCAAGAGTCGCCCAGAGCCTGCCGGTGTGCTCACCCTGTGCCGTCTGAGAGATGAGCCTCGTGTACGTACTGTGTTGGCCCTGACCACCCGGTGCAAGGACCCCTCTGGGTGGGCTTTGAAAAGGCCATGGTTGGCCAGAGAGAGAGGACAGTGGGTGAAGCACAGGTGACCGGGATTGATCCCTGGTTTTGCACAGAGTCCCCCGACAACCACCTGTCGTCAGCCCCGAGCTCAGCAGGAAGTGGTCGCTGAGCACAGAGCCGAGAGGGACCTAAAACCCAAAGAAAGATGTGGCATCAGTGTTTGTGTGCCAGGAACCCGTGGCTGTGCCATGTCCATGTCCTGCCAGGAGGGCAGTGAGGGGGGCTACAGAGGGCACCGTCTCAGTGGCTGCCAGGGTGTTCACCGTAGGAGACCTGCTGGGAATCCGAGGCCTGTGGGGAGAAGCGGAGCGCGGCCCTGGGCATCTTGACACCAGCTTTCTGGGGTAGAATTGGGAGGTTTCCGCCCTGCAGTCCCCGGGAAAACATAGTGGGCAGAGAGCCGAGCCCCCAGTCCCGAGCACAGCAGTGGGGTGCAGAGTGAGGGGCCTGCGCCTGCCCATGGCCAACTGCTGCCCCTCGTCCTAACTGCCCGGCCCTGCCCCTGTCAGCGCCATGGCCGAACAGGACGTGGAGAATGAGCTCCTGGACTACGAGGAAGATGAGGAGCCCCAGGCCCCTGCCGAGAGCACCCCGGCCCCCCCTAAGAAGGACGTCAAGGGCTCCTACGTGTCCATCCACAGCTCTGGCTTCCGGGACTTCCTGCTGAAGCCGGAGCTGCTGCGGGCCATCGTGGACTGTGGCTTTGAGCACCCATCCGAGGGTGAGCGCCCCGGCCCCCACCCCCTGCCCCCCGTCCCGCAGGGCAGCCGTTGACCGCCCCCTCTGTCCCTCCAGTCCAGCACGAGTGCATCCCGCAGGCCATCCTCGGCATGGACATCCTGTGCCAGGCCAAGTCTGGGATGGGCAAGACGGCCGTGTTCGTGCTCGCCACCCTGCAGCAGATCGAGCCCGTCAACGGACAGGTGGGCCTGACCCGTCCCGCTTGGCCACCTTCCAGGCTGGATTCCTCATGCGCTCTCCGGCCACGCCCCTCTTCTGTGTGCCGGCGCACGACCCTGAGCGTGTCGCGTCCCCCCAGGTGACAGTCCTGGTCATGTGTCACACACGGGAGCTGGCCTTCCAGATCAGCAAGGAGTACGAGCGCTTTTCTAAGTACATGGCCAGCGTGAAGGTGAGTGCCCGCCACGCGCCCGCGGGCTCTGGCCCAGCTGGGCTTTACCAGGCTTGGCTGCAGCTGAGGGCTGCGGCGGTTTTTGCTCCTTAAAAGCCTGATGAATTATGCACAGCCCCAGGGGCCGCTCCCTGGAGGCTGGCCAGCATGGGGCAGGGCGGGACAGCCGGGGTGCTGGGGGTGCTGAGCCTTCCAGCCGTGCCCCCAGGTGTCGGTGTTCTTCGGAGGCCTCTCCATCAAGAAGGACGAGGAAGTGCTGAAGCGGAGCTGTCCCCACGTGGTGGTGGGCACCCCTGGACGCATCCTGGCACTGGTCCGGAACCGGAGCCTCGGTCTGAAGAATGTGAAGCACTTCGTGCTGGACGAGTGTGACAAGATGCTGGAGCAGCTGGGTGAGTGGCGGAGGCCGCGGGGGGGGTGGCGGGGCGTGGGGGCCAGCGGGTGCGGGCCGGGCCGTGGGGCTGCACCTCTCACCCCCGCGGCTGTCTCTGCCCCAGGCTGCCCTCCCTGACGCGGCTCCCTGGGTGCCCGGCCCGGCCGCCCCGCTCTGGCAGCGTGTAAGTGATCGCAGCCCGCCAGCGGCCCGCACCCCCCCTCCGGCCCCCAGCTCCCTGGCAGCGGGGTGGCGGGGCTGGCCTGCTCCCGGGTGGGGGGCTCGCACGGGCCCTCGCTCAGCGCCCACTGGTCCCTGCAGACATGCGGCGCGACGTGCAGGAGATCTTCCGGCTGACCCCGCACGAGAAGCAGTGCATGATGTTCAGCGCCACCCTGAGCAGGGACATCCGGCCCGTGTGCCGCAAGTTCATGCAGGACGTGAGTGTCGGGGCCCAGCGGGGCGGGCTGGGGGGCCCCGGGCCCCGAGCTCACCGCCCGCCCCGGCCGGCAGCCCATGGAGGTGTTCGTGGACGACGAGACCAAGCTGACGCTGCACGGGCTGCAGCAGTACTACGTGAAGCTCAAGGACAGCGAGAAGAACCGCAAGCTCTTCGACCTGCTAGATGTGCTGGAGTTCAACCAGGTGCTGGCCGGCCTGCAGGGGTGGGGCGGGGGTTGGGGTGAGGCGACCCCCCCAGCTGACTCCGCGCCCATGCAGGTGGTGATTTTTGTGAAGTCGGTGCAGCGCTGCATGGCCCTGGCGCAGCTCCTGGTGGAGCAGAACTTCCCGGCCATCGCCATCCACCGGGGCATGGCGCAGGAGGAGCGGTGAGTGCGCGCTCCAGCCCCGCTGCCCGTGCCTGTGCCCGCACCCCAGCCTGCGTCTGAGGCCGCCTCTTGTCCTCTGCACCCAGTCTGTCGCGCTACCAGCAGTTCAAGGACTTCCAGCGCCGGATCCTGGTGGCCACCAATTTGTTTGGCCGCGGGATGGACATCGAACGGGTCAACATCGTCTTCAACTATGACATGCCCGAGGACTCGGACACCTACCTCCACCGGGTAAGTGCCCCCCCATCCCTTTCCCCACCTCCCCCAAGGCACAAGTGAGCAGGTGGCTTGACCATCCTGCCTTCCGCAGGTGGCCCGTGCCGGCCGATTCGGGACCAAGGGCCTGGCCATCACCTTTGTGTCGGATGAGAACGACGCCAAAATCCTCAACGATGTGCAGGACCGGTTTGAGGTGAACGTGGCAGAGCTGCCCGAGGAGATCGACATCTCGACTTACAGTGAGTGATCCCCGGGCGGCGTGGGTGGCACGGGCGGAGGTGCCCCGGGCCCACCTCACTGTTCCCCCCCTCCCTGTGCCTGCAGTCGAGCAGAGCCGATAACCTCCGCCCAGCGATCAGAGACCCAGCGTCCCCCGGCGACTGCGCCGGCCCTTCGTGTTTGCTGTTGAGAAGCTGAGATTCATGTTTGTGTGAGAATAAATTTTTATTACAAAGCTTGGCTCCACCGCCTGTTCTGTGCCCAGCGCTGTGCCAGCCGGCGTCAGACATACATGCACACGTACATACACACACACACGCACACACACGCACACACACAAAAGTGCACCCATACGCACCCAGTCTCCAGCAGAGAGGCCCCAAGGCGGGGCCCTGTACCGTGTACCTCAATCAGCACCCACTGCTACCATGCCAAACCCAGCCGCGGGCTCTGCAGAGACGGGTTTGTACCAGAGGGCTGCACCCCCCACCCTCCACTTAGGGCGCTGCGGCCTGCGGGGACCGTCTGTGCAGAGGCAGAGGTGCAGGGAAGAAGGAGGGAGAATCTTTGGCCAGTGCAAGAGCTGCAGGGCCTGGGCGTCGTCGTCACATGCCTGATTCGGAAGGCCTGAGTGCCTACAAAGGGGGGACGTGCATGAGGATGGGCCAGGGTACCCGGGTCGCCTCTGCCCCCCAGTCTACCTGCCTGCACCCCATACTCTTACCCGAGTCTGGTTTTGGCTGGAGCCAGAGGTGGTGGTGGCAAACTCCGAGTACTTGTTCCCAGTGACCAAGCCTGCCCACTTGCGGTACTCCTCCCGCACCTGGGGGCCACAGGGTGGTCAAGAAGAGGCTGGGGTGCCCCCACTCGCTGCAGGCGCCCCCTCGTCTGGCCGGCGTGCCTACCTTCTTGTTGAGCACACAGTGCAGCAGGAAGAGGAAGAGCCCCTGCAGGCAGTTGAGGACTGTGAAGGTGTAGGACAGAATCCAGTCCTGCGGGTCGAAGAGGAACAAGCCGAAGATCCAGGTGCACCCCAGCACGAAGAGCTGCGCCATGGCCGTGATGGTCAGCACCCTGAGGGTGAGGGAAGTGGACAGTGTTGGCCAGGGCCCCGCCCCCTCACCCCCCATCCCCGAAGCCGGCCCCAGCCCCTCACAGCCCCACACCTGGCCTTCCTCAGTTTCTTCATGTCAGGGTTGATCTCGGAGAACTTCTGGGTGAGCCTCCAGACGGTGGTGATGAAGATGACGGCGTTGCACTGGGGAGAAGGTTGGGGGTCAGAGGGCATCCAAAGGGGCAGTGGGGCTTCCAGAGTGGGGTGCACTCACCAGAATGATGACGGTCACCGGCCCCAGGAAACTCCAGAGGAAGCCTTTTTCGGGGTTCAGCCAGCAGCTGGGGACAAGGAGGGGGCAGTTCAGGAAGGGCGCCCCTAGAGCGTACCGCGGGAACCCGGCCACCCAGCCCCAGTGCCCGCACTCACTAGATGGTGCGGCCGTAGCCCTCGCTGCGGACGGCGGCCGAGATGCCCACGATGAGCAGCGGCACGCCGTAACCCAGCAGGTAGAGCCAGCGCCGCGCGGGGCCCTGGCCCTGGAACACGCGCACCACCAGGAAGTAGAGCTCCACGCCCTCCAGGCTCATCCAGCAGAAGGCGGCCAGGAAGCAGTAGTGCAGCAGCCCGGCCACCAGGCGGCAGCGCAGCCCGATCTGCGGGCGGAGGAGCGGGGCCGAATCAGCGCGGGGCGGGGCCCGAGCGCCACAGCCAATCAGCCCCCGCGTTAGAGCTCGGAGGTGGGCGGGGTGTTGAGTGCAGCGACCAATCAATCTCCAGGAAGAGGCCCCCTTAGTGGGTGGGCGGAACCGGAGCGGGGCGAACCGCAGCCACGCCCCACGCCAGACATCAGAGAGGGCTGGGCCTCGGGCGGTCAGTCCCCATCTGGAGCCCAAGTGGGAGGGTATCGGGCGGGCCGCGTGGGGACCTAGACCGCGGACTCCGGCGGGCTGCGCCTGGCAGCACCCCGAGGTGAACGTGGGGGTCGTGCGGGGAACGGGGCGCGCTCGCTCACCTCGCCGCCTTCGTTCTCGATGCCCACCAGGAAGATGGTGGAGCCCAGGAAGAGGCAGATGCAGAGGTGCAGGTGCACAGTGGTGCGCGAGCCCTGGATGGGCCGCACCAGCAGGAACGTGAGAATGCACAGCATCAGGCAGATGAGCGACAGCGACAGGCCCACCTTGGTGATGAGGGCCAGCTGCCTGTCCTGCGTGTATGGTGGGGGAATACGGTCAGAGCCACGAATGCAGGCTCTCTTCCCATCCGCCCCGTTCCCTCTCCTACCGTCCGCACCCGAGGGAGCCTGTCCCTGCCGCGCCTTCTCTGGCCACCCACCCCGACCCGGCGCTCCTGACAGCCTTTTCAGACCCCGAAGCCCTTGGGAAACTGACGGTTCCTGGCACTCCATGGGACCCCCACCCTGAGGCCCCTCTCCACTCTGCTCCTCCGCCCCCAGCTATCTGCACGCCTAAGCTCCCAAGATCTTTTTTATTTTTCTGTTTTGTTTTGTTTTTTTTTTTTGCTTTTTGGGTCACACCCAGCCAATGCTCAGGGGTTACTCCTGGCTCTGCACTCAGGAATCACTCCTGGCGGTGCTTGGGGGACCATATGGGATGCTGGAAATCGAACCCGGGTCGGCCGTGTGCAAGGCAAACGCCCTACCCGCTGTGCTATTGCTCCAGCCCCTCTGTTATGTTTTAATCTCCCCAGTGGAGCTGGGGGCCACCAGGACTTCGTTAGTGGTGGCATGTGCTCCAGCTCTAGTTTCTGTCTCTGGCCTATTTTTGAGATTCTGGGAGCAGGGAGGCTGGTGCTCAAGGCTCCCATCTGGCAGTGCTCGCATGCGCAGTGCAAGGCTGGGCCAGAGACTCATCCTTGACCGCTGTGTGATCTTTATGGCCTATTTTCTTGGGGGGGTGGGTGTGCACGCCCTACAGTGCTAGGGGCTAACTCCTGGCTCTACACTCAGGAATCACTCCTGGTGGTGCTCAGGGGCCCTTAAGGGATGCTGCAGATCAAACCCAGATTGGCACGTGCAAGGTAAACGGCCTTCCTGCTGTCCTATCACTCAGGCCCCATGTGTGCCCTACTTTATTGGCCAGGGAGTCCTAGGCCACAGCCCAAGGTGCGAGCGGCTGCCTCGCATATGCCCGGGGCGCTGACCTGCACGTTGTAGTGGGCCATGAGGATGGCAAAGCTGCTGAGGTGCGTGCAGACGCAGGTGCTGCTGCCGTTGGCACTGCCCATCAGCCGGCAGCCCGAGGTGTTCCAGCGCCCGACCCCATTCTCATCAGCCTTCCAGAAGGCGCAGACCAGCTCCTGCCGCACGCCGGGTATCTCCTCCTGCGGGCAGGTGCAAGCGGTGAGCGGGCAGCCAGGACCCCATTCTTGTGGGTGCGTTTGGTGTGGCCACAGCCTGTGGCACTCGGGCTCACTCCGGGCTTGTGTTCAGTGGCTCACTCGGCACATGGGGATGGCTGCATTATGGCAAGTGCCTCCCCCCGGCCCCTGCTCTCCAGCCCCTCCATGCGGGGGGCCACAGCCGGCAATGTTGGGACTTGCTCCCGGCCCTGAGCTCCTGGTGCTGTCTTTGTGCATACGCTTGTGCCATTTCTCTGGACTCTTTCTCTGGTGCCAAGGAGCCCACTATGGGAAGGGGAGGCCTTTTGTTTGACCAATATTTTGGACATGTGTCAAGCCAGGGAATCTGCCCATGCAGAGGCAAATCCAGCCCTTGAGTGGCTGACAAGCAGGTGTGGAGACTGGCATGAATAAGCTCCACACGCCACACGGGCTCTGCCGTGTTCTAGTCGTGGCCCAGTGACCGTGAGGACCGTCCTGTGCATTGCCAAGGCAGAAACCAGGGGCGTTATTCATCAGGCCAGCTGGAGGGTTCTAAAGACAGGAGCGAACTGATATGCATGTGGGAACTCAGGTTCCGCCCTCATCACCACAAGGTCCCCTGAGTACCGCCAAGAGGGATCCCAAAATCATGCCCTGGGAATACTGCCCCCCTTGCAGCACCACCTGGAATGATCCCCAAACAAAGCAAATTCCCAAAACAAAGCAAAAGATAAAAGCAGTATAGGAAAATGGGCTGAGACTACAGCTGGCGGAGACCCCCCCCCCCACATGCAAAGGCCCTGGGGTAGGCCTGAGGGAGGGGGGGAAGTACGGAGCCACTGTGCCACCTCCCCAGCTGCACTCACGGGGTGGGCGAAGGCAAAGTAGACTGGATAATCCAAACTCTCCGTGTGGGGATTGCTCAGAAAGATGGAGTTGACAGCCGAGAGCAGCTGCAGCCGGGCTCCGTGGACAGGGCTCTCGTGGATCCTTTCCAGCCGGATCTGATTCTTGGGGTCCAGTTTCAGGGAAGCATTGGCCACCAGTTTCTCCATGCTCCGACTGGAGAAGACGCCCGCCACGGCAGGGCCTAGGGAAGGCAGATGCCTGTTAGCTTCGGCCACACCCTCCTCCGGGCAGCTTCCCTCCAGCTGTGTCTGAGTCAGCCTCAGCCGGACACCCAGAGCGAGCTGGAGACCAGTGTGTCAGACGTTTCATACTCTCTATTTTTGGCTTTTGGGCCACACCAGTAATGCTCAGGGCAGTCTCCTGGCTCCCTGCAGTGCTCAGGGGATCCCGTGGGATGCCAGGGATGGAATCCGGAATAGTTGTGTACAAGGCAAGTGCCCTTCCCGCTGGGCTAGCCCTAGTGGCTACATACTCTTTTTTGTCTTTTGTTTTGGCTTTCTGGGTCACACCCAGCAGTGCTTGGGTTACTCCTGGCTCTGCACTCACTCCTGGCGGTGCTCAGTGAACCCTATGGTTGCCAGGAATCGAACCGGGATGGTAGTGTGCAAGGTAGTGCCCTCTCTGCTGTGTTGTCGCCCCCGCCCCAGGGACTGCATATTTGAAACTCATCACTAGCTGCCTACGTGCCAGCCCTTGCCCCAGGAGACCCTGCAGACCCCCACACTTACCTGAGTCTCCCGCTGTGCCCGCCACGGCCCAATTCAGCATCATCCGTGCATGGCTCTGGCCCATGGTGACGTTTTCATCTTTTCTCTCCTTGAGCACCAAGCTCAGCTCTGAGGGCAAGGGGGCAGTGATTGGGGGCCCCTCATGTGGGAGCAGGGT